TTAGCTTACATTCAACATATTTTTTTTTATTCAATGGCCCTCTGTTTACGTGTAAAGTCACCTCAGTACATTATTTTGTATTAAACAGTTGTGTCGTTCAAGAACACCCTTTGTCTTACAGCTATATACCAATAATACAAAAATCCATTTACTATATAATTAAGGTAAATTTTAGATATTTTAAACACTAAAATGTAAAATATGAAACATCCTAAATAAACTCTGATATTCCAATTATCTTTGTTTTTTTTTTCTCTTTTAGACATTAGCTCAATTAATAAAATATATTCTTGAGTGACTATGACGACGAGAAAAAAAATAATAATTACAAACAAAAAAAAAATATAAAGAGGAGTAATAAATGCAATACAATAATACTACCCAACCATGAATTCCCTTGTAACATGAAATTGTTTTATTCCAAGCTGCTCGGGACGATCTACCTTAGAGTTTAACATCCGCTACGACTACATAGAAAGCCATCGTTAGATTATATTTGGTATTCAATTAAACGCACCACGAAACAAGACTAGAGGAATGATTGCCTCTTGCGCGACTGACCGCCGATTAACACGTCGTTAAGGAAGACTAGTTTCATTCAAGATATCACCTACGAATCTATTGTTAGGACATCAACGTACAAAAATATATATAAAAAACAAAGTTAACAAGCGAAAACTTTCTATTCATTCTTTTTTTACATCTTATAAAATAAAAAGGCCATTTTGAATATTGTTTAATTACAACTACATAAGAGAAAAAGCTTACGACAGCGGGGAGTCCGCGTGAATAGCTACGGCTGTACTAATGTCATCTAGTAAGCATCGTTAAGCGTTGTAACGTCAAATAATTAAATATTCATGAAATATTTGGTCCCTATAAGAATTATATATTGAAATAATTATCATGTCCGAGATCACATACAAATGCATACTAATGAAAATGATGCCACACTCGTATGAAACTTTAGTATTATATAGATATATATATATGTAAATTATTCTAGATCTCGTTGGAAGTCCAATAAGGCAAATAGTATGGCATCAAATAATATCGATATAGATTCAAGAGGGCGGTAGTGTACGCAATACGATGCATTACTTAAAATACAATGGTCCATTTGTTAAAGATCATCAATTAAAATCTAATGAAAACTGACGAACATAATTTATTTTTTTCCTTTTTCTTATTTTCTTTAAAACATCACTCGTGCCACGCGGTGTTTTACAATAAGAATAAAATTATAAAAATAATAATAATAATAATAACAACAATATGAGCAAACCAGTATATGAAATACATCAGCTAAATTAACACCAGAGCAGCTTGGATAGGAAGCCGATCACGACGACGGCTGTTATAAAATAAATGGCTCCCGTTTGTACGATCAATAATTATTGTGATGCCAGAGATCCCGACTGTAATGTCCGTGTGTCCGCTAATGGCAATAGAGACATCGACTTTGGCATACAAGTGTTATGGAATATTATATATGAACGGCCAGCTACACACGCACGACCTCCGACGGATAAGACACGAGATAAATAAAATTATATATGTTACACATTAATTCGGTTAAACTTCATGGAAACCAAGAAAATTATCATAAATAAATAGATAAAAATATTTACACGTAAGTATATATAAAATGTTGATTGATGTCATAACACTTATAATAAAAGTAAAACATAGCTAAGCTCATTAATGATTACACAAGGCGAGGGAGGCCCGCTGCTCGCAGCCTTATATTGTCTACGGCTAGTCACGACTCCCTTCACTCCACTCACTCGTGCCTAGCGCACAATTCATTAAAATTACTTCAAGGAAACTATTTAACCTGCCATCGCTTACGGTAACGTACCACAGTTCATTGAGGCACAATCATTGGTTTTTTATTAATTGCTTTTTATTTTTTTCATTTTTTTTTGTTTTTTTTTTTGTATTTTTTTTATTATTATTATTTCTTACATTTTATATCTATGATAATTATTATAATTACTTTTAGGTACGTAAATTTATTCTAAATAACAGAAACAAGTCACGAAAAAATGTTAGAAGTGAAAGCGTGAAGCGTATTAAAAATCTTTTAAGATTATATAATTCCACAATATATACATATTACAGTATAGGTGTAAGGTATAAATATACAACAACATAATAATAACACAGACTGAATTGCACGTGGCGCAATAGTGTGCAGGATAATAGAATATGCAGTCCTTGAACCGAGAGGAGATTCAATTAGTTGTCACAACCTGGCCGGCCGGCTCACCGACACACACCGACACACGCCGACACATGCCGACACAGGCCGGCACATGCCGACACACACCGACACACGCCGACAAACAACCACTACACAACTAAACCACAACACCTATAATATTATGTCTCTTTATAATAACATCATACTCATTACTTAAGTACTCTTTACATTATAACTGACTAAAAAACTTCAAGGCATGACTTCATCCGTCTTTATACTATGGACAACGTATTCTAAAGGGCACTGGTTCACTATACATTCGGTTACGGCTCGTCTAGATTCATTAAAAAATGGAAAAATTTTATAAAAAATTAATTTATGAACTTTATTGCTGTAATAAATTCACGTTACCACCAGACTACTGAGTTGAGGCGACATCGGATATCTGTGTACGCGGACAAGAGACCACACTAGACAATTAAAATATTTAGCCTATCAAATCGATATCATATAAAAAGAAGAAAAATAAAATAATCAAGAATCAATAAAACGAGAGAATCCTCACATAGATTGAGCTCGAACAACAATAGAATTGACATCTGGCTGTAATGTTAACGTAGCTTCAGTATTGTTGGATGTGACAATAACAGTGTCATAGGAACATCAGATCATTAAACCCGTACCGCAAATCAATTTGGAAGATATGTCTAAGAGGATGCTGTCAATGTACCGTACACCTGCACATATCTTTGATAAACATTCTTTGGCACCTAACAATAAAAATTTGTCTTCATCGTTTCAGATAAGATCCGCAAGGCCTTTCATCTATTGCATATACCGTGCCTTCAAAAATACTATTCATTATCCAAAATTACTATTAATTTGTATTAAAAATATTCATCGACACATATAAAGTGACATATAGCCGGTCACGCTACACGTAGTCGGTGATCGTTCTGTAACAAGCGATTCGAAAAAGGCGTATTTTTTTATCATTAATAATAATAATAATATGCAATCGATAAAGTGGCAATATTAAAAATACCGTACCAATCGGTCCCTATGTGACAATTATATAGTAATGAGAAAAAATGCTAATATTGTTACTAATTGAACACATCATACACCAAACATTAAAACTAGACACTAAGGATCCGACACGAGCTGCGGGTAGTGGGTTCACATACACGCGATCACCATTGACTTATTACATTAATTTGTGAAGAGTCCGCCAGGGGGCTCGGTAAGGTACAGCGATCACTTAACGGCTAACTTAGCACTACCGTACATAGTAATGTTTAATTAAAAGATCACTGGAAGATGCTCGAAATACTAATAGATATATACATATATATTGATATATATGTATATATAAATATATATATCATGTACATTTATATAATAGTCAATCGCTTATTGTGACCGAGACAGGTCGAAGCGTGGTGGGTGGGAGCCGCCTCTACTTAGCCATTCCCTTTATATATTGGTAATGATATATTTTGGCAGAGTATCTCTGTGGCACACCATCAATAAATTAAATATTAAATAAAAATAATGTAAATAAACTTTCATCATAACGAACATTTACAAGTGCGATCGTTGCCGTAAAATATCAATAGTATGCTTATCGTAACCTACGATAGGACTTAACGTTAGCTTACACCTACGATGATTTAATACCGAGAGAACTACCGCTACAAGTATATTATTAACAGAATATCTAAAGCATATGTCACTTTGAATAACGTTCAAATTGAGCCTATAGAAAATACCACAAATCTTTTATTAAATAGATATTGATATGGCTAAATTTAAGTTAGAACTTTATTCTTACCTATACACAAAAGTGTAATATTTTAAATTACCGTCAATTATTATAGTACTTTATAACACTTCTCACAAATGTATGTAATATAAAATGATAAAACAATTTTCAATTTAATATATTAGGTTACCCTTACATTAATCGTATAATCTAGATAATCGTTTCATATATTAAACATAAAGTGGCACTTGAATCACAAATACTGGAAAAAATTTGGGGAAACATTAGCATCGGCGGAGGCCGAGCCCGCGGCAAGACGTCGGCCGAGGAGTGCTAGGGTGATAGGCGCTACGGCGCTACACGCGAGCACTGACAATCTCATCCGTTACGACTTTGTTACATTCATTACAATTACAACTAATATAATAAAAACTTTCGATTCGGGCGAAATGCACGTAATTTATTTTATTTTATTGCTGAATAAAAATATCACTATAAGAAAAAACGAAGACTCGTCTCGAGTGAAAATTTAAAAACGGAATAAATAATCATATAATACGACAGCGTATGAGATAAAACCACAAAAAAATAAACACGAAAGAAAATCGGAACGCAACAGCTCGAAGGCGTAACAGCAACAGCCCTCGAGAGCAACAAAAATAAATACAGACTAAAATAAGGCCACGGGACGTGTGACTGAGGTAGCCCGCGACTCAACTACTCTACTCCGACACCTCACGCTATTTGGTTACACGCGGCGCGCCTCGCCGCCCTAACAACGATCATTAATCACACTAAATCTACGTGAACACTTACGAAACAGTAGACTATAGTATAGGACAGTCGGCGCGACGCGTCCGGCGACGTGACTAGGCGATTAATATAAGTAGTCCTCCCCGCGGGGACGGTAAAGCGTATTACAACTAGACAGAGTGGCTCCGGTGCTCACGACACGGACAGGCAGGACTCGGCCAGGCGCACGGCCAGCTCCCGCGGGTCGTCCGCGACCATGGGCGCCGGAGTCAGCGCTTAGATGGACTCGCCGCCGAGCAGGTCCGGGGGCAGGAACGAGTTCAGCGACGACGGCGTGGCGCGCTGCTCGTGCTGCTCCTGCCACAGGCCGGGGAAGGCGCCGTTCCAGCCGTCCTATACACACAAACATACGTTAATACACATTGTACACACACAACTTGACATATCACACACAACTTGACATATCACACACATTTGATATACAAGTTTATGAAGGATACCTTAGAGGCTCCTCCGCGCCAGGCGCCGCCGCCGCCGGAGCCCAGGTGTTGCAGTATCAGCTGCACGTCAGACTCGGCCGGCGACTCCGCGAAGATTGTAGTGTTGCTTAGAACACAGTTGTTTAATGCCATCTGGGCCTAAAAACACACGTACCGTGTAAAAACTTAGCTAGAAATCGATATTCTTTAGCTCCTAAGTGACAATAAATTTTATTAAATACCTTAGCCGCCTCTTCGCGAGTCGAGTAGCGAGCGAGAGCGAGTCCCTGGTTGAGGTAGAGGTGGAAGTTTTGCAACGGGCCGTGTTGCACACATAAAGTCTTCAAAGTTGATCCGTCGATCTGTATAGAAAAAATGTTTTTTTAAGTTAAACCTTTGATTGTATACGATTATATACATATTTCGTTATTGAACGTAATGTACCTGAGCAGTGAGATTTCTCAAAAGCAGCCATGTGGATGTCTGCCACGAGGGGGCAGCACGTGAGTTGACGTGGTGCTGTGGCCACTTATTGAGTCCGGGCGGGGCGGGACGGGGCTTCGCCCCCCAAACGTCAAGCGGCTTGAGTCCGCCGGCGCTGGTGGCTGGCGGGGCGTAGCTCCAGGTGGCGGAGGACAGCGACCTCTCCCCGCCGGGCGGCGACGTCTTTCCTCCGAGCATGTCGCTGTCCTTGATATTGGTCAAAGATATCGGTGAACGTACGACTGATCCAGGTGTCATGGCTGGGTCGTCTTCTACATTCTTCATTTGATTGCCCTAATGGAATGAAGAATCATTTCATGTGGGTATTAACTATTATGTGATCATCAAAACTGAGATATTAGATGCTTAATAATGAACCAGTTTTGATATTCTTCATCATTGCATTTTAAACTAATGTTCTGTATTCCCTTAACATTCACGATCAACAAGACGAATAAATAAACCCAATAAGTCGTTGATTTTTAAATATGAGAATTCATTAGGCTACTATTAACAAAATCTTTAACATGTAGGTAAAGTTTCTTCTGTTTTTGTACTGTAGAAGACATTTGGACTTATAGCAAGTTATACATACTCGGTCAATTCAAACATAGATAATTAATATATAATTATAGACTTATATATGTTACCTTCCAAGGCTTCCCAGGTTCAAACTCAGGAACAAGGTCGTATGCGGGAGGATGCGAGGGGTGTGAGGGCCAGGCGTCTTTTCCGTCTGCCACATCTGAACCGTCGCCCCAACCTTCCGAGCGACCCATACCCCAGGTACTAGAACATTAGCTCATATTATAGAAACTTGTGATTTAAAAAGACATATGCTGACAGATATACTTAAAATTTAATGTAAAATTATACTACTTAAACAGAAATCCGAGTAGATTTGACGGTAGTGAGTAATAACTCTGGCAATTTTTATAAATTGGTAAACTGTTTTGTTATATATGAGACTTCATTTAGAAAAAAAATCATATTAATATTCATCAATTAATATATTGTACATTAACAAATAAATAGTATATGATTTTAATCAATAATATCTATGCATAATTAAATATTATTTATAATGCATTTTTATTTTAAGTATCATCTTTTTTTAAGGTAAGCAATACTAATTTTCATGTTTTTCTGTCATTAGAATTTTATTTAAGATATTATGTATCAGTAGTAACAATTAGGCCACCTTTGCAGAAATCTGTATTCTTTTATATGATACTAGTTTTTGCCCGCGACTTCGTCCGCGTTAATTTCGTCATTAGTAATATAGGTATAGCTGACCGGGCGAACTCTATTCCGTCTTCAATAACCCGGTATTGGTATTTATTAAATTTCTACTGTTTCAATCGAACAGAATGAATGACATATTAGTTAGTTGCCAAGTCTAATGTCAAAAAATCGTTTGTATGGGAAATAGAGAAGGGCTGTTTTTAGGGTTTTTTCGGCAATCATTCCAATTTTTCTCACCTTTTAAACCTTCCCTGGACTTCCAGGAGTATTTCAAGACTAAAATTAGCCAAATCGGTTCAGCCGTTCTCGAGTTTTAGCGAGACTAAGGAACAGCAATCCATTTTTATATATATAGAAGATAGAAGATTAATGTATATGTATCCCTAATAATATTATAAATGCGAAAGTAACACTGTCTGTCTGTTACGCTTTCACGCCTAAACCACTGAACTGATTTTAATGAAATTTGGTACATAGATAGAGTTGACCTTGAGAAAGAACATAAGATAATTTTTATGCCACACTTTTGAAAGGTTCTCATAGAAACGCGATATAACCGAACTCCATGAGGGAGAAGCTAAAAGCTAGTATATTATAATTTTTTATCTATATGTGTGCAATAAAGAACAAATGTATACTAGTATTATACTCACGTATCAGGCTGCAAGCTGATCTGATTGAGTTGCGGGCTCGTGGTCGACTTGGCTGTGCCGGGGGCGCGGCTGAAGTCCGTACCCTCACCGTCTTTATCCAACGAAGGCAGCTTCCATTGGTTCAAACGGGACTGCTGGTTACCGCTACTACCAAAACCCTACAACAAAGCAGATTTAATGAAGACACATATTTTATAGAACTATAATATCAGTGTAAATACATTAATCCTTCTATTTTATTTTAATGTATGACTTCAACAACACAGAATTTGTGAAACATTTTCATGTCATGAATATTTATTATTAAGAATTTCTTGATGACTATTGAGAGAGATATGCACAAATATATAATAAATATAAATTGTGCTTGTTTCTAAAGTATATGGAAAATTTAATTAACTTACAGACTGAGAATCCTTAGAGATAGCCATCTCGCTAAAGTTTTGCTGCATGTTAGACAAGTGGTCATGGGGCTGCTTGAACAGATCTGATGCTGCAGCTTGCTGCTTCATGTATAGCGCTTGTTGAGTTGTGATTTGGTTCTATTTGAAAATATATGAAAGAAAGATTAATAAGACTTGCTAATATAGCATATGAAGTATTTCTCTGTTATAAATTGAAATGTTTTATTTATTATAAAAAGTGCCTATAAATTAATTATTGTAGTAACAAAGCTAATGTAAAAAAACATCTATTCCCAATTATAGACATAAGTCTGAATATTTATAGCAAAAAAAGTCATATTTAATTCGATTAATATGTAAACATACCTGTAAGGCTTGAATCTGTTGTTTAGCTTTAGTTATTTGCATGGAATATTGTAATGTCAAAGTCGAGTTAGCTTTCGGTATGGCCAACTGATGCTGGTTCACAAGCTGCTGCAAGACTTTTATCTGAAAACATTTTCATATTTGAGTAACTACATAATGATTGTGTTAAATATAAACAAAACTTTTAATTTAAGTTTTACATCTTATAATACAAATAATACTAATTGAGAGCAGAAAATAATATGAATAAAATTAATAGTAAAATAGTGAGTCAGTTTTATGGATTCACAAACAATGATGTTATGTCATACTGTAATTAAATGGAAAAAAAAAAGAAATATTTAATTATTTCAAACTTATTTCATAAATAAAGGTTATCAGAGTTCAAGCAATTTTTTTTCTACAATAGAATCTATAATCTATTTGCATACAATAGACAATCGGTACAACAACCATAGACTGGCAATTCATAGACTTACTTAGTATTCATAAGATTGAATTACATGATAAACAACGAGGTTACTAGCAGGTTCTTTTCAACCATAAAAACGATATTAAAATTTCATTCAAACTTAGTTACTAAATCATTTGACCTATCTTTGTCAAAAACAACAAAAATGAAAACTTCAATGTATTTATATGTATCAAGAAAACGAGTTGTATACTTATTTACTAAGAAAAAGAAGCCGAGTTGTGTAACGGAAACCTAAGAAGCGATGTGCGCAAATAAGGCAGAACAAATCAAACAAATACATGTTTACTGTTATTGTATATCCGCCGAGTAGTCGAGTGCACAATACAGTTACGTACCACGCCCATATCGGAAACACTAAGATCTCACGAATATGGAACAACTATGATCGGTTGATGATAATGATTAATTAATTCTCTTTAACATTACGAAAAAAATTACTGCATCGGAGTATAAACCCATATTTGGTCATTTTGTAAAAAAATATAGAACATTTCTCTATTCGAAAATATTGCAATAACTTGTAACTTTTAGATACTTATTTCCATTACGTTTTTATATTTCTTATGCTATAAGAAACTTGAAAATGTTTGTATATTTTTTCCGCTAAAATAAAAATTAAGTGTGGTAGAGCGGAAAATATCACAAGTCAATGATTTCAAATTGGATTCACATTAAAACTATTTCTTAGATAAAAATCCGAGCTAATCTTCATTGTGTGTGTAATAACTTTTATTACAAAATGAATAGTACTTGAGTATTACGATACAGAAGTAGAACAATGGTGTTCTAATAAATAGATTTCTCACTTTAGTGGAAAGAAGTGTAAGGAAACCTAAACAACAGCCGCTTAACTAATAGTTGTTCCAATCCCTGGTTATGATAATGAGGAAGACGGAAATGTACGCTTCGTCAAAATATGAGCTCAATAACGAAAGTATGGGGATCATGATTGGTATATCCAATAGTAAAAAATAACTGTACTCTCAAAAGTCTATCCCATAATTTAGAGGCTAGCTGCTTATTATTGTTAAAACATATGCCTCATAATCTATAACGAATATATGGGGATCGTCAATGATCTATCCAATAGTAAAAAATAACTATACTCTCAAAAGTCTATCCCATAATTTGCCGCTTATTATTGTTAAAACATATGTCTCATAGCAACTTACTTGCTGCAATAGCTGGTTGAGCAGCACCAGTGTCTGTGGTGCAAGCGGTTGGTTCAATATCTGATGGTTTAAGTAACCCGCGGACACTGCCATCTGGATCTGTTGTACCAGCATGCGCAGTTGAGCAGTGCTCGGTTGGACACTGTTGCCCGTCCCACTGTAGCAAAGATTTAGTTTCAAATATTATATATTGTTTCTTAAACTATTGTTCAATGCAGTTTCAGATAATCTTTTTGTATATATGAAAAGTAAGATGTATAGGACAATATATAGGCCAAAAATTAATGTTATATTTTATTGTTCTTTATATGTAAATAGTGATTAAGTGAAGCTACCTATTGGGGTTGTACGATGGGTGATGCTGAACTGCGGGCGGCGGCTGCTGGTTGAGCAGCTTCTGTACCACAGCTGGTGACACGGCCGGTACGGACGGCTGCGGCGGGAAACCACCCGAGTGGAAGTTGTCATCTCGTCTCCAACAGTCACCTCGCGCCGCCGCCAACATGTCCAGGGCCTCTTCCGCGTTCATGTCGCGACTGCGGAGAGCAGCTTCGGCCTCCTCTTTCTTGTAGCCCATCTCGACCAAATATCTAAACAGAGAATGGAATTTAATTTTACTACTTGAGGACCGTTGAGAGCGATGATTATTAAGGGTGATATTTACCTGAACTGCTTGCTATTCCACACCACTTCCTTCGGCAGCTGTTTACCCAGAGCTCCGCTCGGTGGTGGCTTCGGGCCTCCCCACTCGCCGATGTCGTCAGGCCAGGCTGCAGCCGGGCCGCTGGGCTTTGGTTTGGGTACGGGCCAAAGTGTCGGCCCACTGGGGTCCTGCCAGGAACAATGAACGTCGCGTTCACCCCAGCCGTGTGATTCTTCCCATGGCCCGTTGCGCTGTGCGTGTGCGGCCCACACGCCGTCGGGTTTAGTAGGAGCTGGAGCCATGCGCTGGGAAGGTGGCGGGCCTTGCGGCGCTCCACGAGACATACCGCCCATCCCACGCTGGGCCCACAGAGACGTGCCGTCGTCAAATCCGGTGCCTCCACGACGAGCCGCCGGTGGAGACGGCTCCTCCCAGCCGGCAGATTTAATGGCTTCCTTAGGACCCTAAGTATAAAAATTAAATATAGAGACCAAAAATTTATCTATCTATTAAACTTTAACTATGAAGTATTCCATATTAAATATCAACATACCTGTCCGCCCCACTGACTGACGCCTCCGCTGGGCATCATTTTGTTGGGTCCACCAGGGTGTTGATGGTGTTGGCTCCACATGTCGCCGTTCAGACGACCAGATATGCCCCCACGAATATCATGTCGGGGGTCCGACGGCTGTTGTCGTGGGTCTGGCGTGCGGTGCGGGTCCAGTCGTGGATCTGCTGGTCTATGAGGCTCACCCCAGGCGTTCCAGTCGTCCTTCTTGGGTACTCCCCACTGCTGGGTGTGTTGCGGAGGACCAGCCGGCCACTGCTGGGCGGGCGGTGGACCGTTCCATACATTAGCAGAATCTGAGGCATCGTCGTCTTCACCCCAAGTACCTCCGATATTCGTTGTCGGAGTGTGACCCCATGGGGTCTTCGTCGCCGGAGGTGGTGGAGGCTGACCTCCATTTCTTAAGTTGGCTTCCCATAAATCAGTTCCGAGGAAAGCACCATTATTAACGTTCGGTTTCCAGGCAGGTTGCCCGGCAGCTGCTGGTTCCACTTTTGAACCTGGTTCCGGTGATCCAGGTACATCCCAATTTGTATCTTGGTTGACGTGTTGCTATAATAAAAAGTATATGTATTGATTATTATAAATAGATATGCAAAATGTGTCGGTATATTCCATATTATACTATAAATACTTACGCCTCCCCAACCATCCTGGCTAAATAAAGCTTCCCTCATTGAGTTCAATTGCTCAATTTTAGCTGAAGATGTGTTGTTGGTGCTATTACCATTTCCATTTCCACCATTAGGTCCATTGGAACTTGTAACATTATTTGATGGGTTGCTTCCATTATTCCCATTAACAGCATTATTTGTACCTAAATAAAAGAAAAAGAAAAATATAGGATAAATAGATCACATGTTTAAACTGTATGCAAAAATAACAATTTTATGTGTACTCACCATTATTTGTAGGTGCACCATTATTATTGGTTTGTGCATTTGGCATATTAGGTGGTGAGCTCTGCCAACTTTGAGATGCTGCACTGGTTGGTGGAATTTGACTACCATTACCCTTGTTGCTGTTCACTGTAAACAGGTTCTATTAAATATCTTGCTAATAACACTAAGTATAATAATTATCATTATTGATTATGCAAGTTACTAACTGTCAGCTTGAGAGGTGGGTGGCCTGTTGGTATTATTCCACTGTTGAGTATTGTTTGTTCCATTATTGGATTGGCCACTGGAATTACCACTCCAGTTTCCAGCTAGTGACAGTTCAATAAACAAGTTAGAACATATGTCAATATATTAGATGAGTTATTTAGAGATTTTAGTGTCAATTATGACCGTCTTACCAGTATTGGAAGCAGGTGGGCTACCCCAGCCACTTGCAGCATTAAGTGAGGTCTCTCCTCCTCCCCGCAGCCGTAATTGACGTGGGACTCCCCATGAATCCATGTCACTCTTATGCATTTGCTTGATCCTTTGTCCTTCATTTTGTATTAACTCCAGCATAGCATCCATTGTGAGGTCGCCATTAGCGAAAGTTTTCAATACTGATCGTGTCGGTGACTTGCTGCCAACTTCCAATATCTTATTGTCATGGTTGGCTACAGATTTGTCATAAGTAATCATTCGAGGTTTTGTTTTCGATATCAATTTGTGAGCGTTCTTTTCATTATCTAGTTGCATCTTATCAATGCAAGGCTCATCTTTTATAATACAAACTGAGGATTTAAAAGCGTAATCAGCCTTGTTCATATACTCTGGCGCTTCTAACGCCATCTTATACTTTAAGTTAAAGCTACTGAAATACGGGTCACTGTAAGAGATACCCTGGACTGTTATGGCGTTATTCTTTAAAGGAATGCAGTAGTTAGGCGTTTCGCCAATCATTTGGTTTTGTTGGATACTATCAACAAATTCTACATTATAAATATTATTATCTACCATTTTTACACTAACTCGCTGACTTTCATTCTTCTCTTCGACTCGCTTATAAGCACCAAAATTTGTGTTCACCACCAACATTGAGGTGGTACAATTACATTGCATTGGTTCGGTAACAGTATCAATATTGGAGTAACAATTATCCTTAATTAAATGTGGAACACATATTATTACAGAAACATTAGACATCAGACAATTATTATAAATAGAATAATTTTCTACAATATCCACCTAGTATTATACTTATTTTCACAGATTGCATATTGTTTCAATTATAAACTAAGTAACAATGGTTCGTAGTGATGCAGTCAATAAAGCAGGTAGCAGTGTTTTGTGCCTCTATGGCAGAGGGCAAGGTGAGATCACCGCTGGAAGCTGCTTCGGACGCGCCTCTAGCCCCGATTGGCCCAGCCCTAGGAAACAACAACAACAGTCAACATGCTACTACTAGATCCGATACACAATTGTGACTAAATCAGACGAAATAAGCAAAACTACACACCTTATAGGACGGACGAGAGGCTGAGCTGTATATCACAGATAATGCGGGCTCGGCAGATCCTAAGAGCAGCTTTGCGGTCGGCTCGATCGTTTCACTTTTTCTACAATAAAATATAAACGGACAAAGTTTTAACCACCGATAAACTAAATAACGACATCAGAAAAATAATCGATAGTGACACGAATAAGCACTTTTGAGGTTACCTCAAGGACTATGAAAAGTTTTATTATAGGAACCGATCATATTCTAACAAAATATTGTGTTACTTTCACGAATTTGTTGTTATTTTATAACGAGAATACTGTAATTGCGTCGCAATACAACTCGATAAGCAGTATTGATATTCATATAGGTATGTACTCCGCTTTGCAACATTGAGTATGCCATCCGACAACTGTACCCACTAAACACGGAAAACAGATACACTTCGACAATTATAACATTTGATTTACTTGTATCTATATTTTTACAGCATAAACTTCTTATTTTCACAGGTATGTACCTACCATTTAGATACTTGTACATTTCGGCCTTGAGTCTCGATGTTGAATATCTACAGAGTCGTATACATCTATCTACTCTTTATATTTATCTACAGTGCCTATCTATACCTAGAGTGAAAGTCAGTACGACCTATTAGAAGTAAATTCAAGCTAGAATTTTAAAGCCTATTATCACAAAACATATAATAGATATACACGTATCGAATATGATCAAAATATTAGCAATTAATACAAATATACTAGAGAAAATACAAAAAATTCTTACGTGACACGAACGAGCACAACGGTGTTATATTACTAGACGGAATGAGACAGTAAATTTAGTTTCATAGTGACATTCCATAAGCTAGAGAGAGACAAAACATACGCCTGAGAAAGCGATGCCATAAATGCTAAATACGTTTCGGGACGTTCTAACTACATTTAACAAAAAAAGGATATCTCACTAAGCATACCTTCGTTTAATTTAGGTGTTGGCACAATAACTATGTAGATTTATACAAAATCACAATCCCAAACCCCCGAGAACACGGCTTCGACGGCTGGATGGAATGATTTCGTCGTCGGGGTTCGCACGAAGAGTTACATTACACGCCCCATTTAAGATGAACACTACTTCGCCACTAACATACGATTGACTCAGTGTTTTTACAATGGTCGAGTTATAGCAATTTGCTTTGAATATATACTTATGTCTATATGTATTGTAATATATTGTATAATACATAAATACCGTACACGACTTTAGATGTTCCTATTATGTTAGATTATGAACTTTAAGAATGTGATTTCAAAATTGGTTACAATTCTGTTTACCAAGTCTTTTTTCTCGTACGCAATATGAATTTGAGATGGAAAATACAAACGCCTTTTTATTTTATAACCCACCATTTGCAAAAAGCCTAATCAAGTACGGAACTTAGATCTACTTACCTGTCCATTATTAACGATTGTATTATATTTACATCAAAACTTATTGAGAGACAATTAAACCGTATAATACCAATACAAATAACTAGTTTAAACAAGTAGGTAGGTATATAAACAACATATTATAATATATTGAACGATTTTAGGGTGAGCGTCATTCAGAAACATTTATTTTGTACCGAAGAAATCAAAGAATTTTAGATTCATATAGGTATGTAGACATTTCTCTTGTTTTATCTTGGCATGTCATAGTGAATTATATTCTGCAGCTTTTTCTTGACGATTCCGATTCTTTATTGTTTGGAAATACATATTATAATCATAAAATTCTACACAAATATTCTTTATGCTAAAACACAGAAGCATTTTATTTCATTAATCCATTTAGTACCTATAGTAAAAATTATATCAATTTTGGGGTATTACCTACTAAAGAATGTATGTGGACTATCGTCTCAGCATAATCCTAATAAAAAATAAAACTAAAGTTTATAAATTGCGGTATGTTCGTTTTCTTCCTAATGCAAATAATAACTATAAGAGGTGAATGAATTCGTTAAAATATAACAACATAAATTAGACATATCTGGACTGCACTGTACTTTAAAATTTTTACTTTATTTTAAATCGTTAAACATGTATAAATCATAACAAGTATATTAACACTGAACTATTGTTAAGATATATTCATTGAAATATCTGATAATTAGTAATATATCAGTACAAATATGTGTGTTCAGTGCTATCAAAATAAATTAGGGGGTAACCTACGGATGAAGTACGAGGTGTCAGTAAATCTATTTATATATTAAATTGTCTTGGTCTTCTCTGTTTATATATAAACTGTTTTTATTTTTCTACTCCATTCGAAAATAACTTTAGATGTAGGTATATATAGATACGTATAAAAGCGTATCTTTTTTTTTTGATAATTTCAATGACCTAAACGATGGTGATCGGAATTACGCAAACTTTAGTATAACAATATCACAATTATATACGGTAGTACCTATAAGTAAAATTTGTTGTTTCCGAAAAACATTCATTTCTATAAAAATTGCTTAGTAATGATCTTTAAACGCTTAATAAAGATTTCATTTATTAATTCTAATAGGATTATAGTAGGTAGGTACTGTATGATGTTTTAATTAGAACGTTTAATGCTATTCGACATTATTTAAATATTTTCCGAAACTTCTCGGTTTAAGGGATTCTTATTACTTAACGAATTTCATGACTATCAATATAGTTTTAATATCTCCAACTAATTAATGTCTGTATCATCGACTATAGAATTAAATAATAAAAAACCTTTGACTTAGCTATACATATTAGAATAAATCAGTCTACGAAGCATCCCATAGGTTCCGAAACATAAAAATCGATTAATAATGGCACTTGGCAGTGTAACACTGACTTACTAAATTATGATATCATAAAACATTTATTTTTTTTACAACTATATAAATACATTTATTTCGTAATAAAATAATGTATAGCTACCTAACATACTCTATAAATATTAAATAGTGCTGATATTTTGACAAAATATTTAGAGGTGTCTTGTTTCTTGAGTGTTAATGCTGAGTTCACACTTTCATGGCTACAAAAAACTTTATGACTACAATAATTTTTGCCGTCTTTTATTTTTATGTAAGTAATAATAAGTGTAAATTATTTATATATAAATTATTTACTTATATATAAGCTTGACTAACTTTTAAAAAGGTAAACTTGTATTGACACATAGATGACTTTACAATTTGCACTTTTGTACAAAGTTTGTATTGCTTGTGTTTTTTATTTCAAAACTTAATTAACTTTTAATGAAAAGCATGAAATTTATTTCAACTGTGTAAATCGTTCCATATTAAGTTCCAATAGATTGAAATTTGTGGTTAAGTGCTTTTGAAAATAAGTATTATGATATTATACCCATATTTGTTTTTAAAATACGAGTTTTAAATCAAAATAATTAACAACTTTTCTGTCAACTTATTTCCTATTGGGGAATTTTTTTAAATCGTTTTATTTTTTTTGAAACCTTTTTATTTTGTTTTTTTTTTTTTGTTCTCAGTTAGAGTGTTACGAGATATAGTTTATTTTATTATAATAAGCTATAAAATTTTTTCAAATGAACTAATCTAATTATTTGTGATTTTTCAAATAATTTTATTTTTATAATTTGCATTTTATTTCTGTTGAACTTTAGAACTGTCAGTTACATTTAAGGAAGGTAATGTCAAAATATTTCAACATTTGTATACAATCAAATCGACTTTGTAGCGTAGATAATAAAGTGAAACATATTGTTGTCTTGATTTCAGGTATAAAACCAAGAAAATTACAGTTAGATAATTTTTTAATAGCAGCTATGTGGATAAAATCGGCATTATGCCGCGTAGACCGTGGATAATAAGAAGAATATTTAGAATGCCTGTTGCAGCTGAGACGAGTGATCAATATTCCGTATGGGTATGTACCCTTTGTTTCTAATATAATATAAACATAAATGATCAAATCACTTAGAAATCTTAAAAATAGAGAAATCCTAAGATTTCATAGTAGCTTATTGTTTATTAATTAAAGTTAATAATTTTAATTTTTGTATTGAAGAAACTTTCATTACAACTTTTCTAACAGTTAAAATTTTCAGGTTGGATTGATATACATATTCAACCTCATAGTGGGGACCGGTGCTTTGACTTTGCCGGCGGCCTTTGCAAGAGCAGGATGGGGACTCAGCACAATATCCCTCGTCTTCTTAGCCTTTATGAGTTTCATGAACGCTACTTATGTGGTTGAAACCATGGCATGTGCCAACGCTGTGTTCAAATGGAAAAGATTGCAATTCATTAAGAGAAACAGTGTGAGATTTTATATTATTCAGTTATTTTGTACAATTATGTATTTACATGTACTTTAATTTAGGTATCAACATTTCCAATTATACAATTTTCAAATGGTATAATAGATTATAAATAAATCTATAAATATCTGCTGATTAAGTTAAGTAAAATATTGTTATTTTTCTAGTTTAATGGATACGTTTGTATGTATTTTTGACTATCATTTAAAGGTTCAAGAAAATGAATCCGATGAAGAGGGTACTTCACAAAACTATGGAGATATGGAGGATCCATTAGTGTGTGGGGACTCCATACCTTCTAGATACTATAGTCTCGACAATCGGATAGAATTAGGAGAAATGGCCAATTTATTCCTCAATAAAACTGGACGCACAATGTTTTACTGCACACTATGTGTGTATTTATATGGAGACCTATCTATATATTCAGCAGCGGTATCTAAATCACTTATGGATGTCATATGGTGAGTAAAAACAACATATAGATTTAATTCACAAGTAAATTTTTACATAATCTATATTTATAAAACAGTATTGTTTTTTAATAGATTATACAATGTCTATCTTCTTTATTCAGCCTCAAATATAGACTATATTCCTGCATAGTTAAATAATATATGTAAAACTATGTATTAAAGTTATTGAATTAATGAGAATTATTATAACTCTTTTGTTAGTGACTTAATAAGAAATATGCTAACTTATTAATAATATAATATTAACTATATTATTAATATTATATTGAAAATATTGAAATATTTAATTATACTAATAATATTAACAAAACTATACAATATGAATAAATAAAATATCTTCTAGCAGTTATATTGCTAACTGTATTGATAGATAAATATTACATAATGTCTTAATGAATAATGTAATTTTGTTGTCAATATTGTTATCAATAGAGAATTGTTATCATAACCTATGATATCAGTTCAGATATTAAAAACCTATATATTTACTTGTAAAATATCTTTATACTCCATTGATCAATAAAGATATAAGTTTTATTACAATATATTTTTTACATTCATATAGATACCATTAATTTTTCAATATATCAATGAAAGAAAGCGTGAATAAATGACTCGATTAAATAAACAATTTAATCATAGATAAATTTATCAAGAGAAACTTTAATTTATCCAATGAGGTTTCTATGTAATTTCTTTTATTGTACCAGCTAATTACTGGCAGGAATGAAAAAAAAAATTACATCCTGGAGTATAAATTTTAAAAATAGAATATTTTTCTTGTCTGTAATTTCTATGATAATAGAGTGATGGTTTAAGGATACATTGACGCGTATACATAATATTATATAATGGACACTTAAAATACAAAAATGTTAATACCAACTGGTTTAGAAACCCGTTTCAAAATTAAATGTTAATGAATTCTCATTTGACATCATGTTATTGTTAGTTTTGTTTGTTACATTATTTATATTTTAAAATTAATATTACAAAGAACATTATATGAATCTTCAATTTAGTTGTTCCTAGTAATTTTAATATTGCGCCAAACAGATATTATTTTGGTTCTAATGAAGGAAGTCAAATGTTAGAAAATAAATACACATACAGAGAAAAACACTCATAAGTTATTCCTGATACACTTTTTGATCATAAATTAAGAATAATTTTTTTATAATTAAAAGTCACAGATCTCATGTTTACAGATGAGATATAGAAGATTATAGAAGTTTACATTTTTTTTACGACAGTAATATTGTTATTATATTATATAAAATGTTTTTGGTTTGTTGTAGCTCATTTGCAAATAGAATTGTACGGACTATAATGAAACGTAACAATACATAGTATCTCACACTTTAAAATCTAACATGGATAGTTATTGACAAAAAAATCGTATAAATTTCCTTCATCAGGCAGTCGTTAAAATCAGATTTAATGAGAAATACGCAACATCAATAAATTAGATTATTAGAGGAATAAAAAGTGTTTTTTCTTTGTTCCAGTACAACAATCCCCTCGAATATGACGAACACGTCTGACTGGGACGTTCTTCCATGCTTCGTATCACCAGGAACATCTCAGTACACCAGATTCGAGTGTTATAGAATAGCGTTACTAACATTCTTCGGAGTCATGGGACCGTTTGTTTTCTTCAATGTCCAGAAGACCAAGTACTTGCAGCTGTTTACATCTGGGATGAGGTGGCTCGGTGAGTGAAATCTTTGTTAAAGAACTGTATATTTTTGAGCCTACAGGATTAAACCTGTAAAACAGACCTTTTGGAGTGCAGTATCGTCGAAAATCACCTAATTTTCCCTAGAAGTTTTACATTTATTACAAGAATTACTCTAGCTGCCTTTATGCCATATTCTCGTATTTTTTTTCTAGATTATCATCCCCACGACATATCCTGCAGCTTTCAACTTCCTATGATATATAATAAAAAATAAATGAGATGTTTTATTTAGCGTATGTTGTTCCAGCGTTCGCCATTATGATAACGATGGCGATCCACCTACTCATCGTGTACGGTCCCCAGGGCAGGCCGCCGGCGTTCGACTTCACAGGGATGCCGACCTTGTTCGGAGCCTGCGTGTATTCCTTCATGTGTCACCACTCACTGCCAGCCCTCATCAGCCCCATACGAGGAAAGAGCCGCCTGAACCTCCATCTCTCTCTCGACTACGCACTCATAAGCATCTTCTATCTCCTTCTAGCATTCACGGGAGCCTTCGCCTTTGCTAATCTAAACGACTTATACACACTTAACTTCGTGCCAACAGATAACGAGAACATATTCCTCGAAATCGTTGAATATTTCCTGGCGCTTTTTCCGGTTTTCACGCTGTCCACTAGTTTTCCAATCATCGCGATCACGCTCAGGAATAATCTGCAAAGTTTGTTCCTGGATACAAGTAGATTGGAGTCGTACAACTTTGTTCTTAGGAAGCTTATATTCCCGGTGGTAGCAGTGATACCACCGTTACTACTGACCTACTTCTTAGAAGATATTAGTATACTAATAAAGTTCACCGGTTCCTACGCCGGCACCGGAATACAATACTTGATGCCGACATTCCTGGTGCTCTCAGCTAGAAGACATTGCAGTAATCTATTAGGTCTAGGCGTTGTCAATAAATACAAAAGTCCTTTCTCGAACATAGCGTGGGCGGTTTTCGTTCTGATGTGGTCATTTATGTGCATTATATTAGTATCAGTCAATATGTTTGAGAGACGATGACAATAATATAGGAATATATAATTAAATTTACACTTCAACACTAAAATGTATGGATAAATAAAATCTTTGTTCGTCGATTCTATATCAAAGCTGTTTTTTGCTCAAAAAGTTTCTCGTTCAACTTCCTACGTCATTTGTTAATGTAAAAATGTTAATAAATTAGTAACTAATGTTAGAAAAAAGCTATACTAATTTATAAATGATCTCTAATGAAATGTATGAGAAAGTCAAATTTTTTTATTATTATTATTGTATCAGTGACCAAAGCTTTTTTAATGTTTTGCCATTTTTTTTACGTGTAATATACTATATGAAAGATTAATTATTTAATAAGAATATATTTTTATATTTGTAACAAATCTGTGTTTAGCATCTGTTATGAGTCTTCTGTATGAACAAGTAATCATATATAATAATTACTTTTTTTATTACTTCATTCTCTGCAAGGGCAACATCAGAACAATAATACAAGTGTATTTTGAATAATATAACTGTTAGTATTAATTACTAAGAAGATTCAAGTGTGAGATGATTTTTGTATCTCTAAATATTTAGAGCAGCTGACTTGTTTATTCAAAAGTATAAAATATTTTTATTTTAAAATATTATTAAGTTATTTTTTTTCTGTTATGCATGTTTTTTCACATATTGTATACGAGAGTATATCGTTTGAAAAACTGTTATTATTTTTTCAATTTCTATAAAACTGTTATATGAATTCTCATAATTTAATGTACTGTGTCAACGTTTTGCAATGATTATTGAGTACATGAACTAAATATGTAGTAATAAAAATCCTATTGTTACTGAGCAAAGTATTTTCATAAATAAATTTTTATTTAACAATTACATATTTGTTTTATTTTACAGATATATGTTTTCATTTATTTTCTACATAATTATTTGATTAGGATTTTTTGATGTTGTTTCTTATAGCAACATTAGAACAAATATTGTTATATCAACTCAAGACTTTTATTTTATAAAAAGAAAAAAAGAGTCAAATCACCTTTTTATTTCGTACATGGTAATCAACTCTAACGAATTAATTTATTGTTTGGTGTTTCTGCACAAGCGGCTCTACTGTTACCTCTAACTAACACTTTAATCATTTATGACAATATGCTTAAAAATTTCTGTCTTTCCTTATCGTAAACTTCTTACAACATAAACTAAATAGTGGATTACTATCCTTGTAGAAGTAAGACTTGAAAAAAAAAATAACAATATTACTGGCAAATGTAAAGAATTTAAGTAATTTAATAAATATATGTTTAAAAGGTTCAGAATAAGCGTAATAACATATTTCAGTACAAAATAGTATTGTAGAAAATAATAATACAATATATAAGGTTGAAGAATTTATTTATTACCATCATTACATTAGGTTGTCACTTATCGCGTACACGAGCGACAGGTAAGCTTTTAATAGCTCAATTGACTTTGGCATGAAGTTACATCGTATTTGTGCAAGTATCAGCGTCACTCACAGAAGGTACTCCTATAAGCACTAATGATAAAATTATATTCCTATAATTTGCAAATAAATAATATCAATTTCGACAAATACTACATTTGAATTACAACAACAACAGATCATCTATTAAATTTAATGTTACACTGATAATGCTTACATTTACACATCCATTTAGATAAATGTACTAAAAAAAATTATAGGTAACACTCGGTATTACAATCTAAACGTCTCGTTCCATCGGCGAACATCTCACATTCGATTTTAAATTAATATTTTAACTACATATTATATAAAAAAAAGAGAGAAAACAAAACAAAAATAAAAATTATAATAACCATAAAAATTTGTGAATGTATCATATCATAGCCACACAATATTACGCGCATAAAAATAAAATCCTTTTATAACACACATATCCAATCATTCATACGTGTTATACTAAACACTCTGTTCATGGAATTTTAACACACCGTTTGTATTACAGTGTTATACAAAACTATAGATCGTTACAATAATTCGCATTGAGGCGTTGATAATTTCAATAAGTACGCATAACCTAAACATTAACGGGTGACGTATCAAAGTAATGCATTACTTTAAAAAATTATAATAATAAAATAAAAATATAATTCTCTATAATTCTAATAAATATTCGCATCGATCGAACATACAAATTACAATTTCATACAATAAATAATAATAGATCTGGCCGAGAACCGGTTGGTTTCATATTAAATAAAAATATGAATAACAAATTCTAAGCATACTCAGAACTATGGGAATATCGATTTGGATCGATTAATTATCGAACGATCAATTTTATAATCGAGTAAGTAACAATAAGCTTGACCTACGTCCGGCAGGAATCTAACGTAACCTCGGGAATACATAACAATAAATACTATGACTAAGAGTACTGCAGCGACACATTAGGATACGGTTATTGTGTTGAATGTGAACTTTATATTGTATTTAATAGCTAGTGTCATGGTAGGAGGGTTTGCTATAACGTGGTAGGGGGGACTGTGATGTCGTTCTTGCGGAGCGCGTTGCGGAAGGACTCCAGCGAGGAGCGGAGCGTGAGGCAGAAGCCGCGGGAGGCGGGGATGAGGGGGTAGTCGGGAGGGGGCAGGTCGCTCGGCTGGCCGTTGGACAGAGACACGAGGCCCTCCAGTCGCCGGCAGAGGCTCGCCGCGGACGCACGCAGGTGCTGAAGGATCTCCTCGCGGAACGGCTCCGGAGGGTTCATTAACATCTTGGTCATAGACTGCACCAACTTTAACAGCACCATCTCGTTGTACATGCGAGAGTTCTCTTCGCCCTGCTGGGTGCCTGTACATATTAAGACACTAGTTAATGGCCATCGTGAAAGATATAATAATGTTATTTCTTGTTAGAAATTATAAAAAAATAGGAATTTTGAGAAATGTTCAAAAAATTTTTAGTGCTATTATTAATACAACTTGTTCCCGTCGCAATATAGTAAACAAAAAAGAACAACGCTTAGTACATTCAAAAAATTTAAGAACTCTGAGCCGTCATGTATATTTAAGTTCACCCTACCTTTCTGTTTCTCGTAACCAGCTTCATTAAAGTATGGCTCCGCGTTCAGTATGAGTCCCTGTAGGGACACTATAACCTGCAGCAGAGAACTATCTTTCCCCCACACCTCGACTCCGCGACCCGACCAAGTCCCCAGGAGAGATACACACACCTGTAACAGTTATGAACTGATTAACTGATCCTTTAACTTTAATATTTTTGCTATATACATATATATTTTTAATTAATTAAGCTATTATTGTAAAATACATATTGTTGTAAAATATATGCAAAATATCATCTCTAAAGAACTTGAGAGTGATCAAACCTTCTTATTGTTACCATATCAATATAATCTAAACATATTATTTTTGTATATATAATTCTTCTGTGAGTGTGTATGTCACTGAACTTCTCTCAAACGACTGGACAAAACACGGAGATTTATGGCTTTAATAGGTAAATTCCAGAAATATAAATAAAAAAACGTATCAGATATTTCTTGATTATAGGGCGATACGAAGTTCGCCGGGTCTTCTAGTATGTATATAATTTATATCTAAGTATCAATACCTTCCCATCCTCATACAGGTTAGGGTTGAGTCTATCAGAGCAGTACGAGTGGTAGTGACACAGCGGCGGGGCGCGCGGGTACTCCCCGCCCAGCTGCACGTCGAACACGAACAGGCCTCCCTCGTAGGGCGTGCGGGCCGGGCCGGCGATCATCACTGATATGAGGTCTATACGGTCCTCGTAGCCACGAACCCACACCTACAATATATGAATAACATTATAGAACATACCTGATGAATATTCCGTGTTATTATACATTGAAATGTCTTATTGAACCAAATTCACACGAAGATAGGTTTTTAATAGACAAAAAACTATGTACTGATTTTTATTTTACTTTTTCTCTGTATTAAATGAACATGATCTATAATGCAAAACTTGTCTTAGATATATTTATAGGAAGACTTTGTCCACTGTTGGGTACATTTATAAATATTAAAGGATCAATGACTTGTATTATGTAGTGAGTAGGGACCGGATTAATACGTAAATAACATTAATATGTAACTGTATGTATTCCACGAGTGACCCTTTTCTTATAGTAAAACAATGTTTAACTATGAAATTATTTGATTTTATACTCCATATTTTTGATTTTTTCGTCTATATTTTATATACATATTTTAAATTTTTTAATACATATTTATCCGGGCCCTAGTAGTGAGTTTCTACATACCCCCGGCGGTAGATCGCTCTTGAGCAGTTTGATCTCCCTCTTGACAGCGGAGTAGAAGCTCCTCGGCTCCGATGGCTGTAGCATGGACAACCTGAACCGGTGCGCGGCGGGCGCTGACTCCAACACACTGAACCCTTCGCCTCCAACAACGCCTTCACCCTCACCTTCGGCACACGCTAGAGGTGCCTCTGGACCTGGAAATAATAAGGTTAAATGTTAATTAAGAATTAAACCTATATGTACTTTCATATTCATCCTTTTTTTTAACTAGGGGAATCTTTCAAAGTCTTCCTGCCGCAGGGAAACGCGACAGGGGCATGTGGGATTTTTACCAACTAAAAATACCTCGACGTTCTCTGCGTAAGTGCGTATTTCATATTCATCCTACTAATATTATAATTGCGAAAGTTTGTGTGTGTGCGTGTATGTTTGTCACTTCTTCACGCTCAAACGGCTGAACCGATTTTGATAAAATTTTGTATATAGGCAGCTGACGTCCAGGAGCAACACATAGGCTACTTTATGTACATCCCGGAAAATGTCCGACCTGATAATCCGCGGGTAACACCGCGGGGCGCAGCTAGTAAATATATAAAACAGTTTCCTAGCAGTAATTGTTATCTATGTATGGTTAATATTGGTTGAACAGTGTTAGACAATCAGCTCTTTTTCATAATGTAGGTATGCATTTTTGGTTAAGTGCTTTGCATGTAATTGTTAAATAGACAATTTAAAAAAAGTTGTTTTATGAGTTTTGAAGTCCAATAACGAAAAATCTTTCCTACATTTTACATTTTTTAAAATGGACATATAAATTTTATAAGCTGTTCTTTATTGGAATATAATCTTTAGGAAAATAGACATGGCTTACGGAAAATGTTGAAGACATTTTATGAATTTATAATTTTTGTTTTAAACACAATATTAAACAGTTATTAGTACATAGATAGCGAAAGCTATTGCAATTAATGTGTCTTAAATCATCACCAACCAGTTGTTTCCATCTTAGGTGCGTCAGCGACGGGTTCGTTGACCTCTTGAGTGGATGTTTTCTCCTCCGCCTTCTCAGCCTGATCGACCATCGACACCACAAGAGCCTCGTATTGACTGGTAACAACCAAATTAAATAAATAACAGTATAAATATAATAATAAATGTGATAACTTTGTGAGGGGTGCGTCAAATACACCAATATGTAAAAGTCACAAATTTAATAAACAGAATTTTCAATATGCTATTTATTTATAAATTTCTTTTATAGTTTTTTACAAAGCATTATGTTTAATACAAATTCATATGAACATACAATGTAAAATATTCTCTAAGTCATGTCAAAGGGACTATGCTTTTATATACTCCAACAATATTTACAGGACACAGGATCGTTAGGCTCTGAACACACTAATCTGTAGTATTTTGGGCAGAATTTTAATACAATTAATATTCACAAAGATCAAATTTCATATTTCAGACAGTGTGTTGAAGGCCTTAAATAAAAAATCAACATGAGATATATATCGAATATATCTGACAATAGTTTGAATAGCATGCAGCGTCGGGTAACACGCATGACTTACATTAAACAAACGGACACTAGCATTGAAACTAAACTCATCTCTATGACAACGGAATAGAGAAATTAAGTTACCACCTTTACAGAGCCATCTATGAATATAAAAACAAAACAAAATAATGGAAGGGAATACAATGTGGTGCTGTTTAAATAAAAATATAAAATAAACTATACCAAATATATATTATTAATATGTATTTATTCAACTATTATACCATAAATGTAGTATCGATTCAAATGAAATGATTCTATAATTGTATTAACATGCAAATGATATAAATTTGTATTCAAATATCAGTTACTGTATAATGTATATGATGACTGAGTAAGGATAATTTATTCTAATATTGTTTAATATAAGTGATGCGTTCACTGAAACATCAATTAATGTGCAGGTAAATAATGTGTATGAGTTATATAAAATAATACTGTACCTTGCACACAATGGCAACAATGAGTAAGATTTTAATAGCACACATTTTAAGGCGAGGCGGAAATAAAAAAATATATAACATAGCACATAAAAAAATAATATGTAAAGGAGCCTGTACATATATAGTCACGTAATAGCAATATTGTTATATTTGTTTATTATTATAAATATCGTAATATGTACAAGGTCCACAAATGGAAGGAAGGGATGGGAAAAACAAAAAAAAATGTCTCACACTGAAAAGTGGTAGGGTAACTTCTCCCCGCCCCCTTTTTGCTTTTTCATTAAGCTGTTAAGGAATTCGGCCAACTCTTGCGGCCTTCTCCTGCGAAAATAATCACGTAGACTTATATAATATACAGCCATCAATCTTAAACATTATTTTCTTTTTCTACGCCGATTTATAAGGAAAAGAGTTCGTGTGATAACAGGAACACCATGTATAAAACTTTTGTAAATCCTTTTGGATATGTTTGAGAATTTGTTACTTTATCTGTTATCAAAATGTCAATGAAGTAACCAGTGCATATTATATTCTTTGTTACCAAATGACTTCGAACATATATGTATCACCAAGTATATGAGTACATTTATCTGTTACCAAGCGACAATGAGTGTTTATTTGTTACCAAGTGGTTATGAATATTATGTTACCGAGTGTCTATGAGTATGTATGTGTGTTACCGGTTGACTTCGGCGTGCGCCTTGACCAGCTGTCGGTGTATGAGAGCGCACAGCTTGTAGCAGACGTTGCGTGAACCACTATATACAACATCGCCTTCGGTTTCACCAGCTAATAGAAAAACACGAATTTATTACTAAAACTTATATGTACATATAACAATGTTTACTATGGAGTATTTACTTAATGTCTAGAAACTCAATTTTATTAAAATAAGCGGGAAATTAGTTATGATATCTGATATGATATGACTTTCGCGAGTATTCATTTAAATAAAACTTATATTTTTGGATCACACTGCGGTTTTTTATATCTTAATACTACATAATCCCGATATTTCAATTATTTTGCAACAACTGCTATCACGGTAGACGAGATGAAAAAGTCTCAGACATTTTCTGAAAAACGTTGAAAGTTTGTAGTTCAAAACAACAAAAAAAAGCGTAGTACATCCGAAAATGTAAGTTTCATTTAAATCAGAGAGTACTTGGACATGGCTTGTCATACATCGGACAGACAAAGAGAAGCATCGGTACAAGGGTTAAGGAACATATTTCAGACGTCAGGAATAGGCGCGCGTCGAAGTCAGCAGTGTGCGAACATGCATTGGACAAACCAGGCCATTACATAAGATTTGATCAACCACATATCCTCGCTCGTGAAGACAGATATATACCAAGGTTAATCCGCGAGGCTATTGAAATTAAAAAACACCCCAATTTCAATAGAGAAGATGGCTGGAACCTATCAAACACCTGGGATCCTCTTCTTAAAAATATAAAATCCCATGTCCGTGACCACACCGCAGGACCTCGAGACACCGTGAGCGCATTTTGCCGGCACCCAGAGCGGTACGCAAGACAATTAAGAAATCGATGGCGGTAGGAGATAAAATGACCAGACCAACTGACAGACACTCACATCTCGTCTGCCCGTGATCACGGTTGCTGAAAAGTAGCCGAAACGTCGGGAGTATGTAGTTTCTAAAATAAAACGCGAAGTAAAATCCGAAAATATTAGTTTCATTCAGAGAGTACTATTTATTAATAGTCATACTTACAGTTTTCTACAGGGCCCTCAGCGACGTTAGTATCAGAACAAGACGCTGACTGTTCAATGTTCAGATTCAGCGGCTTCTTTGGCGATGTGAATTCTGTCTATAAGAATTAAACAAAAACATTAATACGATAAAAACTATCATTTAATGTGAGACAGAAAGTCTATGAATACAGAAGAATTATAGTTTATTTTTACATCTGTCACGTGGATAAATTTTATAGAATCACTTAAGGCTTAAAGTATTTGAAATTGATCTTACAAGTAGTAGTCTTGTAAATCTGATTAATGATGTATTATTCAACTTTATTTTCTTATTTATATATAAAAAAGACAAACAATTTTCATAGTTTTTCCAATATTATTTTTTAAGTTGTACTTATTTGGTTGTCTCAAATCACCTAGGTGACATTTTATTAAAGCTCAAAAAACTTAAAACATTAAATTTCATATTTATTGATAATTTACGTTTTATTTTTGGTTTTTAAAAGCAAACAATACATAAAATGTACAATTTAATTTACTTTAATGGTATCATTATACAAATATAACGTTAAAAAAAGAGAACCATAATCAATAAATTAAGTAGCAAAAAAAAAAAAATCTTTCAATCATAAACAAGGTTTTATGAGGATATAAATAAATATTGTTCCTCTATCGACACAGTACTTGTATTATATGAAGTCACGTGACACAAACTAAAGACGTCGCTGATTGGTGCGACATCATTCTTAGTACCGCATAAACCATATCCAATTTCAAAGCCCACGCGGATATAGTCGCGGTATAAACTAGCATATATATACATACTATAGTCCGTTAGACTTAAGCTGAGCATTGCATTTGTGTGAGTGAAAGTGAAAGTAGAGTTAGACAAAAAACTTTTAGAATTAAATTTTATTATATTTAAATAGACATATATAATAAGAGCTATAAAATAAGCAAAACTTGTAAAATGCCAGATGGAAATATTATGAATATTATGGAAAAAAAAAATACTGATTAAATAATTTTTAAAAAAACTATACAAATTATTCTTCACTTGACATTGCATTTTCAACATTTGATTTTGCTACCAGTAGAAAAGGTAAAATGAGGAAGGTACGGGGCGTGTAAAGCAGAATAAACCGATTCAAAACTAGAAAAGAACATGACATTCAAAAATTTGACATCACACCTACACTATCCGTGTACACTCATACAAATGCAAACCTCAGCTTTAATCAAACGCACTATTAGTGTTCTAACCTCCATGGCTTCAACGGTAACGTTAGCCGCTACTATAGGTCTGAGAGTGCGGTCCTCCATTTTCAAGTCCTCATCATGTTCTACATCTGCAGCGGGTTCGGTGCTGAACAGACGAGCTAGTTGTTCGTGGACCCGACGCTCTCCAGCGCGAGGTGTGCTCGCGCCGCGCTCACGAACACGCTCTAGAAGACCCTGGAAATTATATGGAATATTTATTAATGAAACTCTTATTGGGAATATTGAAACTATGTTTTAGTGAAAGGGACCGTTCAAGTATTACGTAAGCACTATGGAGGGGCGGGGGGGGGGGGGGTCTTTGCTTTGATTATTTTGGATGACATGGGGGGTAGGGGAGTCTAGATGATGATTACGTCATCGGTAGTTATTTACTTTTTTATCGTCACATCGAGAAGACCCATAAAAAGTTATAATTATATTTTATGCATTTAAATTTATAAAAAACAATACAGTAATGGAAAATGTTTACGCAAGCATGGGGGGAGGGGGTATGAGCTTTGCTTACTTTTGGTGACAAGAGTGATGGGGGGGTAAATATTTGTAATAAAACTGCTTACGTAATACTTGAACGTCCCCAACCATGATATATTTTATAAGAAAATTATAAAAACTTTACTTTTGCTATGGCAATACCCTGACTTCATGATTGAGTTATCATCATTATTAGGTCATGTCAAAGAATTATTCTGAATTATTACAATATCTACTTTCATTTAGCGAATACTAGAGAAAGATTTGTATGACATAGCAACACAAAACAATTTAGTTCTTATTAAATTTAGATGCTATTTGCATCTCTCAACTGTAATTATTTATTATTATTTAATGTTTTATCTCTTGGTGCCTTATTCTTTCATAGTTATTTTTGGTGCTCATCATCCTAATTGCAAACTCACCAAAAAGTGATCTTCATGGAAGAAGGTGGTGCCCATCAATCTGTCAAGGAACCGGCAGTCCTTGTACAGATTAAGTAGCTTGCGCATTATCTGAAATATTATAGATTCAGTTATTATAGATAAGAATTAATTATATGTTCAGTTACAAGTGTTCATCAACATTCATCCCTACTAATATTATAAATGCGAAAGTAACTCTGTCTGTCTGTTACGCTTTCACGCCTAAACCACTGAACTGATTTTAATGAAATTTGGTACAGAGATAGGGTTGACCTTGAGAAAGAACAGGATAGTTTTTATCCCAGACTTTTGAAAGGTTCTCTTGGAAACGCGATATAACCGAACTCCACGCGGGCGAAGGTGCGGGCGGAAAGCTAGTCCTTACATACTTTGAGATTTATATTTACATATTTAGATTAAACATAGTATGTGTATTTTGTTTTATGTCATATTAAATATAACACGCTCACCTCCTGGCTCTGTAGTGTTGGTTGTTTAGCGAAGATCTCTTCTAGTTTCCTCATAGCCACTCGTCCTCTCTCTATGTGCGCGGCCACGCGAGGCTCCAACAGCCTCGGCAGAGGTCCAGCCTCCTCGCTAGGAGTTGCCACAGCTAGAAACATACCAATGTATTTATATACATATTATCTACATGTATAAGTCGTTTTTTGAAATAATGTGTACCTAGTATAAGTTCTATGTAATTTGATTTTATTATTCCGTACTTTAATACTCAATTAAACGGACTCTTGCCATTATAGTCTTTTTACTTCTGGTTACTAAATAAAGTGCGATGCATAAGCACAGTGGTGATCCTGACGTGATTTGAACACACTACCTTCTGATAATAGAATCAAATGATATAGCATTTATACTAAGTATAAATCTAACACCCTGTAGATAAGATTTTTGATACGTTTTATACCTGTACCTGATGCAGGTGCGGACCAGGTTGGCGCGGCGGCAGGGGGCGCGGCTACAGGCGCGTCAGGTGTACGTGGGTCCAATTCGTGAGCTGAACTCTGTGTTTCCCACGAATCCTCAGATACAGTTCCCTCGGAGCCCCACAGCTCTCCGTCTTCAGAGTCATATTCACCAACCTTATATAATAATAATGTTTATTTATCTCAAACACATTACAATTGTATAGATATTAACATAATCTGATCATAATGCATACAGGTAAAAGGTATTATATGTAAATAAAATCTACTGTCCCTGAGCTAGGTATAAACCAAGTTTACCAAGTTTACTAAAGTGGAATAGCGAAAAAAGTCAACACAATATATTGTATGCTAAGCATATTTTCGTTAGCTTTAACTTAGAATATATCTAGTATAGTAAAATAAAATTAGTAGTATATTTTAATTGTTAATAAAATAAAGTATGGCACTAAGACTTATAAGCTTATATATAAGCTTACCTTGTATAGATCCTGTGGCCAGCACATACTAGTGTGTCCATCGACCCACCACACTTTAACACGGCCAGTTGGAAAATTGTCTATAACCTGGGACAACACCTGTACTTTATTCAAAATGATAAAGACTATACATAGAATAGAGTAATATTACTCTTGATAATATCTATTTATACATATGTATAAAAAAGTTGATAATTTTTTTCAAGGCTATCTACATATATAGAAAATATTATATAACTATGGTCTTGGAAACCTGGATGATTTTGTGCAAATATAAGAATTTTTAAATAATTTCAACCTTTAAAACTCAGATCTGATGACAGAAATAAAATTTCAACTTCATAGTACCATATATAAAATTATTAATCATATTCTATAGATATTATAATCTTAGACTGTAAAAAGTTAAAATGTAGAGCAAATAAAAGTATCACAGTGTACAAAACAATATTAAAGTATTATATTAAGCAACATTGAACCTTATAAGGGTGATAAAAAGTATCTAAAAATGTATGTAATACAGTATAGTGTCCAAAAATATATAACAGTATATTTATGGTGATAAGTGTCTAAGAATATATCATAACAGTATCTTTATAGTGATAAGTGTCTAAAAATATATAACAGTATATGTATTGTGATAATTATCTAAAAAATATAGAACAGTATTAGTCTAGTGAACAAGTTGAAAATGGTACAAAATAGAGATACTGATCTTAAAATTATTTGTGATGGCTTATGATGGATCCGGAATGACGCCTAGATATTTGTGCCAAAGGCGTATATTTCTTAAGTATAAAATTAATTATATTTATACTTTGTATATAATGTCTTTATCACATTAACAAAAACTGAAAAATCCAAATAATGTTGTAATTATAAACAATATATAATTTCTGCAATTTCTTGTGCTAATACGCGGTTTTAGCACAATCTTCTAGGCTTTATTCCGGATCCAATAAGCCATCGCACATAATTTTAAGATAAGTATCTTTATTTTGTACCGTTTTCAACTTGTCGACTACACTATATATTTTAGATTATAAAATCTAAGATTTTTGCGAGTTTTATTAATTTAAATGAAACTAATATTTTCGGATATACTACGCGACTTTATTTTTTTCAAAAACTACATACTCCCGACGTTTCGGCTACTTTTCAGCAATTATCGATTTAATTTAATTTTCTGAAGAAAATTAAGAAATCGATGGCGGTAGGTGATAAATAACAAGACCAACAGACAGACATTCACATCTCGTCTGCCCGTGATCATTGTTGCTGAAAACTGAAAAGTAACCGAAACGTCGGGAGTATGTAGTTTTTTACAAAAATAAAGTAAAGTACGGAATTAAAACTATTTCATTTGAAGGAGCACAGCTGCGTCTAACTTCTAAGTGTTGTAAATTCAAAATCTCTAAACATATTTTAAAAACGATTAAGAACCCATATATTAGATGATTTCACTGATCTTGTTTAATATCACTACTGTTTATTATTTGTAATCTTAATTGTAGTTATAATTTTAAAATTTCCTTTGTAAGCGAACTTTGTTCTTTTTGGAAATAAACTTCTTTAAACCTAAAATCGCGTAGTATATCCTAAAAATATTAGTTTCATTTAAATATATGTTTTGGTGTGTAAAGTGTCCATAAATATATTAATATTTACCTGTCCCGCGGTACAATTGGCATCTTCGCCAGTGAAGTTGGCGACTCTAATGACCACAGTCCCTGGACGATATTGGAAGTCAGGGTGGTCCTTGAGATCATACACGCTCATCTCACTCTCAAACAACATCTGCGGCCTGGAAACAATAAAAAAATATGTATTATTATTAATTTAAAATTAATCTAAAATAGTTAAGTGATATGAGTAATTCTAATGTTTGATAGAGAATTTAAATGTTTTTAAATCTTTATCACTCATAAAGAAAATAAAATTTAAACACTTTTATTTATGTCTCTAATAACTAAGTTGACTAACATTTTTATATTTATCAATAGCATTTGATATGATTCTATCTATTTTATTATTATAGTTTACATTATTTATGTACTAAATGTGATTATTTTTGTTATAAAAGGTTTCACGACGACATGATTTGGTAGATTTTTTTCTTTAACATTAAGCTTCCGTCTCTTGTTTCTAAAATTATTTTCTTTCTGTATGCTGATGTTAATTAATAATAATAATATATACTAACACTGGTTCATCTACGCTGGTGTATGTTCTATACCAGTGTACAATGGCAGTCCTCCCATGATGGTCTACTCGCTGCACCACACCATATTCTCTATGCTTTAGCTGGGAAATTGAATACATATATATAAAAGCACCCATTATCCCTACTAATATTATAAATGCCAAAGTAACTCTGTCTGTCTGTTACGCTTTCACGCCTAAACCACTGATCTGATTTTAATGAAATTTGGTACAGAGATAGAGTTGACCTTGACAAAGAACAAAGGATAATTTTTATCCCAGACTTTTGAAAGGTTCTCTTGGAAACGCGATATAACCGAACTAAACGCGGGCGAATCTGCGGGCGGAAATCTCGGATATTATATATCAAAAAAAACAAATCTTGTCAAAATACCATAGTAAGGTTTTCAAAATATGAAATAAACATTTAGTTGTTTTATTACAAACTTTTGACATGACCATGTTTTGATTAGAGCAGTTTCGTTCAAATCATCAATCTTGTTTTATAAAAAGTTAAATGAATATGTTGTTTTTAGTAAATACCTCAAGTTCTTAAACGCACCTGTTGAGTTTCCTCTACACTAGCGGCGCCGTTGATGACGAAGTCTCCCGGGAAACACTCCTGACCATCCAGATGATGAATAGGATATAGCTGGGTTGAGGGTATACCCATTTCAATAGTACCGTCCTGTTATATAAGAAATATAGTTATTTATATACACTTGCATGAAAATATATAAATAATCTTATTAAAAAGGAATTCAACAGCATTTAAGAGTAATAATTATGATGGTGTAGTTATTAAAGATATGTATACATATGTAACTTCGCTTTAGTACAAAGCAACGACATTCCGCAGAGGCATAGAGTTACATATGTACATACATGTACAAAGAGAATACATATGTCTTTAAATTGAACTCTTTATTAAGCTACAATATACATAAGGCGAGTTATTAATGTTATACATCGTCGCGGATAGTTCCAATCAGAATAACTACTACTGGATAATTCCATGTATCTTCATTGAAAGCAGATTATCAGAATAAAGTTTACGCTGAAATATTTTCTGAATTAACGACTTTTAACACTAAATAATTACTAATTGTGACAAAATTACCTTAAAAAGTCGTTAATTTAGAAAATATTTCAGCTTAAACTTTTTTTTTTGATAATCTACTTCCAATGTAGTTACGCGAATTTGCACTATCCCACGACGATATCGATATAATATATATATGTATATCTCACCTGCCAAACAACGTTAGCCCTGCTGGTAGTATGTAACGTCTCCACAACGACTCTGTCCGTCCGTCGTGGGGGCGGCGCGGGCGGAGCCCTACGGACCGCACGCTTCAGTCTCTTGCCTCGTAGTAATCTGACAGCCAACTGAGGGGACCTCGCCCCTCGGACAGAGCCAGACGCCGCGGACGAACAGCGAGACGACCACGTAGCGCCGCTGGGAACATAACAGAGAGGCCTTATAAAAGATTATATAGTATACAGATTATATTGGCAGATAAAAATGTTATAATGAAAGTGTGTTAAATTTTCTACAAGTTACAGATGTACTGGCTTTATTTTGAATGGATTATTTTTTGATACTAGTTGCGCCCCGCGGTATTACCCGAGGGTTTCCGGGATGTAAAGTAGCCTATGTGTTATTCCTGGACGTCAGCTTCCTGTATACAAAATTTTTTCAAAATCGGTTCAGCCGTTTGAGCGTGAAGAAGTAACAAACATACACACACACACACTCACAAACTTTCGCAATTATACTATGAGTAGGATGAAAGTAAAGTCCCGGTAGGCCTTTTGTGTAACCAATTTTCTTGTAATCATATTTAAGTGGCATTGATATTGTTTGTATTCATCAGTATAAATGAGCAGGTAGTTTGTATTAATAGTAGTATTTACCCCTCATAAAAAAGTTAGTAGGTAGTTTTTGCCACTTTTATTTAGTTCAGTTACATAAGTCGGTAAAGTGAGTAGATCAGATTATTTTTATAGTTAAGCAATATGATCAATTAATTCACTTTCGTTTTGTTCCTGTGTATATGTTGTATGTTTGAAAGTTTTAATTTCTTTTTACAGAGTTGTGGGTAACAGCTAGTATATAATATATAGTAATCACCTGTCTGTATCACTGCCGTCACTGCTGGTGTTCTCCCAGTTATCTGAGTCATCATCCTGGTCTGGCGGGGCTCCATTCAGTCCAGCAGGCCTTCGCCCCTCTTGAGGCTCCGGACTGAAAACATTCACATCATCTAATAGCTAATAGTTTACCTTTAATAAAAATTCCAATAGAAAACTAGGACATTGAGTATGCTCCGGACAGAATAACTACAACATAATATTTTCAAATTCTGTTTGTATCTATGTTTATTCATTGTATATATTATCAACACCGCTTTAATATTTAAACCATGGTTAGATGAATAAAATATTAATAGGAATAAAATTATTCCTCAACTATTCATATAATATACAGGGTGACTGGTGAATTACTATCGATATTTGAGGACGTGATATCTGACGATCATATATGACAAAATAAAAATTAATATAATATAAATATTAATAAACTTCTAAGTAAAGTTAACCAAAAGTTATGTAATTAATTACGCATCGTGTGAACACCCTACAGATTAGGTATACACACACACACACACACGCGCGTGCGGCGGCGTGATGATACAACACCACAAGCGTCCACACTTGGAACACTTGGAACGTGTACACACTTTATTTATTTATACGGAAATTTGGTCATAATTTAAGTACCTATTTTTTTCACATAATTCGAATGAGAATCATGTACCGAGTATGCTCCTTAAATATTGATAGTAATTCACCAGTCACCCTGTATATGTATGTTTTCTTCATTATATATTCTCACCTTATACCAGAATCGTTCTTTTCTTCAGTGACAGTATCATCTATGCTACTAACTACTGGTAACGCGACATCTCCACTAGGATCTATTTTAATACTGGGACAGGTTGAGTCAGCTTTTAAAGCTTCATCAAGAGATTCCAACTTCTCATTACCTCCATCTATCTCCATATCATTCTGGAAAATAAATAAATTGTTAAATGAGTACTTTAGCCTATATGATTTACTTTGAAGTGAAACTTCTTATTCGACTTTCAAAAAGGTTGCATTAAACGTTTAACACACAAGAGACAGAGCGACAGGCCTTGAACGAGGGAATGCGTGGAACTCGAATGCATGAGGGCAATCAAATGTGACTTAAAAATAATGTTATTAATTTAATCATTGCAGAATTTTATTTTTTTCTTTTCAACCCAATTCTACAACCTTACTATTAATGTAATTTCAAAAAACTCCACCAAAATACATTAAATTACGCCAACAGTGTGTCGATGCATATGTATACGATATAATATATGTGTTTGTTAACATACATCAATAGTTTTGAGTTTCCTTTGTGATGAGGCTCGCTTTTTAGGCCGCGACGGCACGTGTTCAGTTGAATTGGCATCAGTCTTAGACGGTTTCTTCACTGGTCTAGTCTGTTTACGGAGATTCCTATAGAACTTACCTGAAAGAAAAATACAAGTATAATAAAACGTTCTAGAATGTTCCATCATTTTGTTATAATGTTTACTTACTCTGCTGTTTCCTCCACTGCTTCTTGCTAATGAATGTGTCCTCTGGACCGATTGTTAGGAAGTTTCTATCACCGACCTGCAGTGTACAGGGTTCGAATACGTTGAGCAATTTTAGTCTCTTCAGATCTTCACCTGTATGACAAAAAAATAATTAGAATATATTGAATTTCTCAACAAAACCCTATTAAAACAGGTTTATCCAACCTTCCACAAGGAATTTAGGTTGTTGAGGAGTTGCTGCGTCAGGTAGAGTGCAGAGAGCTCTACACTGCCAGTGAACGCTGACACTCTCTGTTACAACGGCCTCCACTGTGAACTGAATACCAACACTTTAAAATAAAGACCCTTAAAAATATGGAAAAACTTATTATTACTATATATTACTACTATATGTACATGCCTATAACATTTAAAAAATATTTTTTCCCACGTTTAAAATTGTTGTAACTGCTACAAAACAAAGACCGCTTATGTTACATAATTATTAAGAGAATTTTCATTGTGAAATTTTAGGTTAATCCACAGCAATGAGGTTGTTTTACTTTAGAATATGACATTTGCAGATTTATATTATTATGGACATATATTATTGTAATTTTAAAATATGTACAGTTCAGATTGCCAATAGCAAAAAAACAACACCAAATTGCATTTCAAGGCGGAATGTCAAACATTCTCGTTGTCAAATCCAGTAGCATATACAGGGTGACTGGTGAATTACTATCAATATTTAAGTAGCATACTCGGTACATGATTCTCATTCGAATTATGTAAAAAAAATAGGTACTTAATTTTTGACCAAATTTCCGTATAAATAAATAAAGTGTGTACTCGTTCCAAGTGTTCCAAGTGTGGACGCGTGCGGCGGCGTGCTGATACAACACTACGCCGCCGCTGCGTCTGTGTGAGTGTGTGTGTATACCTAATCTGTAGGGTGTTCACACGATGCGTAATTAATTACATAACTTTTGGTTAACTTTACTTAGAAGTTTATTAATATTTATGTTATATTAATTTTTATTTTGTCATATATGATCGTCAAATATCACGTCCTCAAATATCGATAGTAATTCACCAGTCACCCTGTATATATACTTTTATATGCTCCATACCTTCAAGGCATATTATTGACATTGGCAGACAAAATTGATCACACATCACACAGATTATAACAAAAAAAAAACTGCACAATCTTGAAGGAAGCTCCACTAACCTTATGATCATGCATCTTATGTTTCCTGGCAGCCTTCATTTCCTTGGTCATGTTCAGCCAGTTGGCGGTGTCCAATGCACCAAGCGGCCCGTACACCACTTGCCCCGGGTAGAACTCCGATGAAGAGTAGGGCGTAGCACGTCTCCGCCTCATAGAGTAATCCTCCAATGGACACGTGTCCAGATCTGGATATTCCAAGCGTGACCCATCCGATGAAACTAGACGCAGTTTACTGTGAACCGACTGGAAATAGAATGCGCTTGTCAACCTAGCTGTGATTACTTTTTTCATATTATAATTTTTTATAAGGTAATGGAACTACTAATATTTTTTTGTACATCAGATAGCTAAAGTCATACAGGCTTAAAAAGCAAGATAGTTTGCGTATTTCATATAGATGTATTATGTATGAGAGGGTTAATAAAAATTTAAATGCATCTTTTTAATGCCTGTATAATTTCTACCGGCCGTCTCTCACAAAACAAAGCGTTTAGATGATATATATGTACTTTATATATGACAATTGTTAGAATAAAGTATTTTTGTAATAAGACTAATTTACGTTTGTTTATAGTAATAATACTGTATAATAAAAAATACACACGAGTAGCTATATATAAGTAGCGGCGTTTAAATCTTATCTTTTATAATTGCTGTATTAAATACTTAACTAACTATTATACTTAGATTTCATTCTACACGCGGACAAGATAAAAATTGTTCAGAATCTAACTTTCTTTTCTATATATTAAATTTAATGTTCATTTGTATATAGTTAAAATTTTAATCAAATAACCGCAAACTATCATCCGTTTTAAATAAAAATTTAACAAAAAAAATGCGGATGATCAGAATGGTGGACCAAAATTAGGTGGAGATAATTTAATAAATAAAGAAAATAAAAAACTATTCTTCACCTTTGAGGATCCGACCCAGGAATCAAGGCAGACGGCCAGGTCAGGAGTGAATTCCTCCAAAGGCTGAAGTCTCTCACTGGCTACGTTGGGTATGACATGCTTGGTGCCAACTATCTGGAGCGCCGCAGTCATCACTATATCCCTGCAATAACCTCTCTGCGTGTCCCGCCCGGCTATGAGGCGACGGACAACATCACCTGGCATCAACGAACGATCGGCTAGACCAACCTGTTAATAGAAAGATACTCATATACAAATATTATTCATAATAAATAAATTAATTTGGAAGGTGGTAGAGCCTAGCTAGGTCAGTTATTACAGATCGAACATGGGCTGGCTCGACCGGAAAAGTACTACCCTCTCACAGGAGATCGGTATGAAGCAGCCTTTAATGGCTGCGTTTCGTCTGATTTCCATTTCCTTATCCCCACCCAAAAATATATTTCCCCAAAACCAAGGTTGGCAACGCATCCACAATATCTCTTATGTTGCAGATGTCCATGGGTAGCTGCCTACTGCCCAAGAATCACGTAGTCCGTTTGGTAGTTTGCCACCTTTCTCATAAAAATAATAATAATTATCCCAAGACTAATTAAATTATATTATTAAGATATAAAAATAATGAGAGTACCTATTATTTTTATATTCCGTATAATAATAAAATATCGGCTTTTTGAAAACTAATGCCATTATAACTCTTTTCGTTCATTCCTATTGGAGAAGCCTCGCTACCGAAAATAAACGAGATTGTACGAAGTCAATCGATTGCCTGCAGTTAGTAACTCATACGTTTTAAAATTACATGAGATAAATAACGTACCTATGAACATTTAGTTTACAAATTTAAAACTATAAACGGTTGGTTTATTTAAATTTATTTATTCAAATATAAATTGAGAATATATACATTTAAACTATTTTTCTTCTGTTCGATAAATATTGATTGGATGTTATTTTAGTTTAACATATTTGCGAGTGCGGATTGAAAACCAAACAAAAGATAGCGCAAAAACTAAATATTAAGAAGCGTCGTTAAGTTTTTTATTCCGCCTATAGTTAATCATAAGGCGCGTGCACAGGTAACAAAAGCGCATTTGCATACATTTTCGTCTCGAATAAAATCACAACTATAAAAAGTTTTAATGATAAATACTCTGACATTAAAAACAATAATCAAACTAGTATAATTAGATCTATATTTTCGCGAGTACTCATTTAAATGCAACTAATATTTTCGGATTTACGAGATCTCGTCTGCCCGTCATCACGGTTGCTGTAAAGTAGCCGAAACGTCGGGAGTATATAGTTTATAGTCAAAAATAAATCGCGTAGTAAATCCTAAAATATTAGTTTCATTTAAAAAACAGTATAAGTAAAATAACAATATACATAGAAAAAAAATATTAAGTATGATAATTGTTTCCTTGTTCTGTATTTTATAGGTTTCCAAAGATCAAACCGTTAGATTATGTCTGAGCATTTCCAAGGTGCTGGTTCAACTTATTATATATTCCATTTTACTTTACCATCAAGCAAAATAATCCAAATGAAATAAGTCACATTCTTTAACTTGAATTGATATAATTTGTTGTCAAATCTAATGTACATATGTATATACAAAAAAAAAAATCCAACAAATTGGTTATTTATATTAATAAAGAGCAAAAAGTTTTATTATCAGGAAAGAAATGAATTCCTTGGAAAAAGATCTTTTCCGGAGACTTATTTGTGACCAATTCTTCTCAAGGTTAAATATATAAGATGGCATTAATTTCTTAGACTATGAGGCACAGTTTGAAAGCTAGTGTATGTTAGCAATTGTTTCCGTTGTATTTAGTGTCTATATATGTATTATATATTAGAAATATTCTGATACACATAGGGAAACAATCTTCTTAGCACTCACTCTTCTTATATGGGACCATCTCGTAATACTAATACAACAGATCCAATTAATATAGAAACATTTGGCAATTATTATAATATCATGTTATTTGTACATGATAGGTCATTCCTCAAAATATATGTATTTCTTTTGTAATAAATCCCCATCTTTACATCTTTTTTTTAGCTGTATATAAGAGTTTTTATATGTAATAAAATGAATGAAATTTTATTTGTATGATCAAACTTAAATATTATTCCTCATAATTTTTAACAAGTTAGAATATAATAAAAAGAATTCTACACAGATGATGGCATAACAAATACAAATTTAAAGTGTACTTAATATAATAATCCAATATCGAACTGTGCTATTGTTAGACTAGAGAAATTGGTGTTAACTATTAAAGCTGCCATAATTTAATATATTATGTACAATGTTTTTCTGTTGTTAATATTTTATTACTACATGGAAATGTCAATTATCTTTGAAAATATCATCAAAGACCCTTGTAGTCTTCTAAGTATGATTGCATTTAACGATATAACATTCATATACTGTTTTGATAAGAGGTACATTTTATTTATTAGGGAGTAAATATATATATTTTTTCTACTATAAATCTTTTAACTGGTTTTTGTTAACAAGATTTTATATATAAAGACTAGGTCATTATTTACTAATGTTTCAACTGTTCTTATAAGATAATCATAAAAAATAAGATCTTATTTTTTTAAATGGAGGGTAGAAGATGGTGCTTGCAGAATATAAATTACCCACTTATTTTTTTGTATATATCTGTTATTAATATGATCTAACATTCGTTAACATTTTTTTAATATTAAAACTGAACTTTTTCTGTATAAGCATTGAGTACAGTTATTGAACGTATATGACATTTAACAATATTTTAAATTCGGTCGATATAAATTTTAAACTTACCGATTTTTCCGAAATAACACGTTCTGTACCCGAAGGGTGCCAGACAACACGAATTTCGCCTTTTTGTATGGGTGTTTCGATGTCGCTCTCTTGGTCGCTTGAGTTTGCTTCATAATTCTCCAACACCAGACCGAAGACGACTTGGCCACGGTTATTGATTTTGTACACTTCATCCTCGTAAAAATATTGAAAATCGGTAGGCGAACCTGGATTTTGACCCGCCATATTGACGGGAATTATCTGAAGACACAATTAATTTTGTTTTTTACGTGATAATGTTCTTTCTGACAGCTGATTGCAATGTGTGGCGCATGCGTCAATTAATTATGCAACGGAAACGCCATCGCGCGGCAATGCAAAAAAATAATATAGATCGTTCCATTTCACGCTACCTGAAACATATAAAACTGATCTTTGGACAAATACGAGTAAATTTAAAAACAGTATTCTTGTAACTAACTATAAACTGAATATATTTAGTTTATTTAAGAAATGACAGCATTCATTTTAACTTATAAATCTTAATAATGAAATGAAAATACATTCCATTATTAATTTTTAATCGATGTTTTGTTTTTTTCAAGGTCATTACACACTGACGGCACTGACAGTTAAATATAAAAAATTGAAAATGTTTGTTATTTCATGATCCCAAATGGATATTTGAAATCGTACATCCTAACCTTGAAATTAAATATCAATTATTATCATTACAAGGCGTATCATTACATACAAAATCGTAGAATGTTTAATGTTTAAGTCTATTATATTACCTATACTCAATTAAAAACAGATTAAATTATATTACGATATAATAGAACCTCATAAGTGCAAAAGGTAAAGTTTTGACCAGGTACCAATTAAAAAGTTTAATTCAGGAACAAAGAAGTCATGTTGATTTATCCTATCAAATAAAGAAACGCTTCTCTAATAACAGACTTATATAATAAGTAGTATTAAACTCTTTATCGATTTCGATGGTTTTGTCAAAAGTTATGTCTTTCCGTAAGCCGGCTATAGGTAAAATGAGCGTCTGCAATCTCGATTTTCAAGTTTGTTATGTCACAGCCCCAGCTGACGTTTTGTGCGCACCGTTCGTACTTCGTACCGATCAATACTGTATTATCAATATTACTGTGTGGGTGTTTACATGCGCGTAGTACTCTAATCGCGCTCAAATGTGTTTGACGCGAGCGATAACACCGAGTCGTCGTAAAGGATTTATGAGTGAAATGTAAATCAAAATGCCCCTGCCGGATCTCATAAAACGTGCATCGAGTTACTTCCTCGGACTCGAATTCGATGATAACGAACCGCTGCCGGACTACGTTGATAATGAAGTTTTGTTTTGTAAGAATAACGTGTGCGTCCATCCACCGACTGTGGCGAGGCATGAATTGGACGTGGTACATCATCCTGGCTATTTAACTATAACTACCAAAGTGTTTACGGACCAGCACAATAATTCTAAACGACCCACGCTTTTCCTTAACTGGATCCCTAATTCTACATTGAGGAAATGTCCATCTGCTATAGAGACGAGTCCGAGCGACGAATTAGGTTGTGGTATTAAACCAACTAATCCTCAAGATATACCGATTCAAAAATCGGTGCAAGGTAAAAATAGAAAATATAATAACAATGTTTTTTGTGACTCCTTCGAGACAACTAGCCTTAATTCAAATTCAGATAAACAAAGTATTAAATCCAGTGACACGAGATATACCCAGAACGAGACGCAGGAAGATTTATCATCTAGCTCTAAGCATACCATAAAATCTATGGATTCTAGCAAGGACGATGTATTCGTTTCTTTATATAAGGACGAATCCAAGGATTCTATATGTGAAAACGAGAAACACATACGTTCTCAATCTATGACATCAATGAATATAACAATCGCGAATCCCAACGTGGAAAATATCGATTTGACGCCAGATTCCGTCTCCGGGAGCTTCATGAGATCACTGTCGATGAGTTCCTGTGATGAAGGAAATCCAAATTGGATGAGCACCCCCGAATTCTTAGCTCTAAAACATAACCTGGCGTTCCCAGATAGTATTCACAGTTCCCCCGTACCACAACGACGACAACCTTTGAAATGTCGAAGGTGAGTGTAAATTTACATAAAATTATAAATTATGTAACTAGCTAAATAGTAACCGATATCTATTAAAACCTTATTTGCATTCCCCATTATCTTTAGCTATCGTTCTGTCAAGTATTAATGGTTTAGTTTAGTGGCCTGTGGCGTTGAATGCATAATATGGAGATAATTGCTGCCACTTAGAGTTTGACGTTTTACGTCCGAAAACCATTAAAAGCGACCTAGTATTCAGATTGGTCTGAATTATATTCATTATTTGAGTACATCATTTATTTGTAAAATATATTCGATTTAATTGAGTTTATTTCTTAAGTAATAAACAATTTTTTTTCGTTATTTCGTTATGAATACAAGTAATAAAGGATATTCGAAATTTAAGTCGACCTAAAAAGATTTAGAAAGGTGCGAAAAAATATCAACACAATGTAATATTTTTAGAAATTAATTTGTCTGTAACGGGAATAATCGTGATATGTCATTTAACTGTAAACCAGGACATACAGCATTGAAAGAAGGTTGTTTTAAAAAGTTTGATTATGAAATACGTAAAAAAAATAAATCTTTTTTATACGTATTTGCTGCTGGTCCATCTTGACTTCATAATGTCTCACAGTAATGATTGTGGAAATACCAGCTTTTTCCAACGAATTCATTAAAGTTACAGTTATACACATTTGTTAAAGAAAAAGTGTTTAAGGCTTAGGTACCTATATTAAAGATATGTTTGTAGTAAATCATAATATGATCAATAAAAGCTAAATTTAGCTTCAAGGTATTTCGTACCAGAAGGAGTACCCACTTAAAGTAGGTAGTCTGGTTTTTTAATGTTGGTACTTTTGAGGGTTGCCTGATAACACACAGCCTTATTTAATAAATGGGCTATAAATTCTTAAAGAATTTTCCAAACTAAACAAGTCAGTCTTGAAATGAGTGCTTTCAACGAAACAATTACCTTAGTCTTTTAATACGTACTAAGAAGTAAAGATATCTATATATATAAAAATGAAATGCTGTTCTTTAGTCTCACTAAAACTCGAGAAAGGCTGAACGGATTTATCTTATCTTAGTCTTGAAATGTTCGTGGAGGTTTAGGGAAGGTTTGAAAGCTGAAAAAAATTGAGTCATTTTCGGGAAAACCCTAAAAACAGCCCTTTTCCATTTCCCATAGAAACGTGTTTTTTTTGACATTAGATTTGACAACTAACTAATATGTCAATCCTTCTATCGCACTTCAAAACGGAGATTTATGGCTTAAAGGTAAACTCCAAAAATACAAATAAAAAAACGTAACAGATATATCTTGATTATAGAGCGATACGAAGCTCGCCGGGTCTTCTAGTTGACTTATATTTTATTACTTAAGATTTATTTTGTCACCTTAAGTAATAGGCAAACAACGCAACTTTTATGATACTTACGATTTAAAAAATCTATATTGGAGTTCGTTCAAATTAACGGCGATTTTTAGATACTTATTGTAATAAAATAGTTCAAGAGTTGAGACAGTATTAATACGTTCTACCATTTGTTACCTGTTGCCTAATATTACATGCTGTATAGTATTATACACATTGATATATAAAAGAAGTTAATTTAGTTACACTTTTTATAACTCAAGAACGGCTTTACGGGTTTGACTAAAAATTGGTGGAGAGATAGCTTAGGACAAGTGAAAGAACATAGGATACTTTTCATCCGTTTGAAAACGAAAAAAAATAAGTTGATCAAATCCAAAACTTCTTATTTACTGTCTTTAAGGAAGAATAGAGTTAGTTAGCTATATTTTTTTTTAATTCTGGAACTAACGCAGACGAAGTCGCGGCAAATAATTATATATAATAATGTAAGTCTCAAAATATATTCTTATGATGAAGCTATACAAAATTGCCAATAATTTTTCGTTTTAAAATTAAGATAAATATTGTCTGCTTCAAAATATGTGATGTATCTAATTAATGAATTTTAAAATAGTTATATCTCAGTCCCCTTTGAAGTAGGACTAAAAAAAGAAATTTTATATGTTAAATAGCAGTAATTTAGCCAGACATCATCCACTATATTTTCATAGAAATATTTCAATAATATTAAATTCCTATGAGTAAAGGAATTTCTCCAATTATCACCAAACATTCCTACAGATGTCGACGTGACTGAATGAACGGTACTTTGTAAAATTACTTTGTCATTACTCCAAATATTATTTATATGACTTTATATGGTTAATAAGAATTTAGTATTAGTTATTATATTATTTAATTCACTTTAATATTTATAATGTACATTGTACACGTCAGTTTGTACAATTTTAAGTACTTTGCGTAAATTTTTTCAATTGAAATGTGACTGTATGTTTTAACTTTACTTCGATGTATTTATTTCATATTTTGATAATTTTATATATTAAGCTAAATTATAGGTGAATAATGTTATTTAAAATAGGAATCCTGATTAATATTGCAATACATTATAATGTACTACATACTTATAATTATAATACCAAAAAACTTTGATTTCGTTTTTCTTTCGATGCTGTGTTTTTAGTCTATTATGACTATTTTATTAGAATCTAGGTATGTTGTATTGAAATTCACTTTTCCTTTCCCTATTGCAGGTCTATTCTGACAAGTTTATTTAAATCTATTTTATAACTTTCCTTATAGGTTTTCCGTAGACCTAAGCCAGATGCGTTCATTGCGTTTATTCTTTAACGATGACAACTACACGTGCGGACAGTTGGTAGTCGCGTCACGGGAAAGCCAGTACAAGATACTCCACTTCCACCACGGCGGGCTGGATCACCTGGCTCAAGTGCTGCATCGATGGCATACACTGCTGCACAATATTAAATTAACACCAGGTAATATTATATAGTAGTTCTAGCATGTTCTGAGAGGGTTCAAAGATTTAGAAGACTTCGAAAGTTAGAGTATCCTTGACGTGGCCTAACGTGGTGCTAAAGTACCTGTGTCACTTAAAAGGCAACGTAGACCTTTGAAAAACCTGCACAGTGAAGTGAATTAATATAGTGTTATATAACAAAAATTTACTTATATAAATGATAGACCTCTATAAGGTCTTCAGTTGTCTCATTATGATTTATGACAAAATTAATGAATTTCGATGTTTTATTTTTTATATTATTAGTTGTATATCAAATACATATGGCAATAGTTTGTTTTAATATGACATTTCAGTCATTATATATTCTATTAACTCCAATTTTTATACGCGCTAAAATTTCAGTGAGACTAATTCTTATTGCACATACAAAAAAATTATTACATCAAATAACAATGATCAAGTAATGGCTATTAAATAGTGCCTTATATAAACCTACTTATAGGTATAGAGCCAGATAAAGTCGGAAGGATAATGCACTAGTTCCAATGTTCAAGGTCGTATATATGTATATAAATTTACATGTAATAAAAGTAATGATTACAACATATCACAGAACAAACAATCAAATAGCATATGTAATAAGGTCGATGTAAACTGATCTGCGAAGCGTCGTGATTCATTGAGCGTGTTATCATAATACCATGGCATTACATACTGTAATGAAATTATTCCGAGTAATCGTTTGGAAACATTTTAAAAGTTCTTTTTTGTCCGAATTCAATTACTACGAAGTTCGTTTCAGATGACCAGATAAGTTAACTAATAGCTAATGAGATCTAAGATTTTCGCCCTACTCATTTAAATGAAACTAATAATTTCAGAATTACTACGCGTTTTTTATTTTTGACTATAAACTACATAGTCTCGACGTTTCGGCTACTTTACCGCAATCTTGATCACGGGAAGACGAGATGTAAGTTTCTCCTACTAATAGCTATTCTATTTATTTTACTCTTTATGTATCTAGGGTCTGAAGATCCTGAAACACCGTTACGTCACTTCATGGTGTGTCGACCAGAAGTACAGAAGTTCGAACAGCACCCAGAAGAAGATAAAGTCCCTAAAATAACACCTGAACTGTTCTATGGGAAAATAATGAACGACAAAGGCATCATAGAGGATGATTTGTTCTTACGGAAATGTGTCTTCTTTGGAGGTCTCGATAAAGAATTGAGGAGGGAGGTCTGGCGTTTTCTGCTGCACTGCTATCCATATAACTCGACTTTCGAGGAAAGGGATATGATATTACAAATAAGGACTAGGGAGTACCACGAGATCACGAGGAGGCGTTTGGAGAAGATGACTCCCGAACAGCACGCGGTGTTTTGGAAGACGGTGCAGAGTGTGATAGAAAAGGATGTTGTCAGAACTGACAGAGGAAACCCGTTCTTTGCTGGTGAAAATAATTATAATATAGAAATTATGAAGAATATATTACTGAACTACGCTGTGTACAACCCGGCGTTGGGGTGAGTTGAATGATACAAAGACAATAAACTTCTATTGCTATTGTTATTATCATATTTATATTCATAATTTGTTTCAATATTTTAAAACTACGAAGCATCTTATATAGTACTAGCTTTCCGCCCGCAGCTTCGCCGCGTGGAGTTCGGTTATATCGCGTTTCCAAGAGAACCTTTCAAAAGTCTGGGATAAAAACTATCCTATGTTCTTTCTCAAGGTCAACTCTATCTCTGTACCGAATTTCATTAAAATCAGTTCAGTGGTTTAGGCGTGAAAGCGTAGCAGACAGACAGACAGACAGACAGACAGACTTTCGCATTTATAATATTAGTAGGGATGGAGTACTATTAATTTTTATTTAATTATATGGTCTTAATTCATAATTATGGTCCCAACTAAATACGAGAATTTTTAAAACTTTTATTTATAGCCCATATATGTATATATATAAAAACGAATTGCTGTTCGTTTGTCTCACTACAACTCGAGAACGGCTGAACGGATTTATCTTATCTTAGTTTTGAAATGTTCGTGGAGGTTCAGAGAAGGTTTTAAAGCTGAAAAAAATTTATTCATTTCCGGAAAACCCTAAAAAGAGCCATTTTCTATACAGGGTGACTGGTGAATTACTATCGATACTTGAGGACGTGATATTTGACGATCATATATGACAGAATAAAAATTAATATAACATAAATATTAATAAACTTCTAAGTAAAGTTAACCAAAAGTTATGTAATTACGCATCGTGTGAACACCCTACAGATTAGGTATACACACACACTCACACATACACAAGCGGCGGCGTGGTATTGTATCAGCACGCCGCCGCACGCGTCTACACTTGGAACACTTGGAACGTGTCAACACTTTATTTATTTATACGGAAATTTTGTAAAAAATTAAGTACCTATTTTTTTTACATAATGAATGAGAATCATGTACCGAGTATTCTCCTTAAATATTGATAGTAATTCACCAGTCACCCTGTATGATATATCAATTTGTGCGAAACAATTATCACAGATATTCTCAAGGCATGAGTGATCTGTTGGCGCCTGTTCTGTGTGAGATCAAATGTGAGTCGGAAGCCTTCTGGTGCTTCGTGGGTCTGATGCAGCGAGCTATCTTCGTGTGTACGCCTACTGACAATGATATGGATAATAACTTGGTAAGAATACAACACACTCATCATTAAGAGACATACTATTTAATATAATATACATTACAGTATAATTATATTTATACTAGCTGCGCTCCGCGGTGTTACCCGCGGGTTTCCGGGATGTAAAGTAGCCTATATGTTGTTCCTGGACGTCAGCTTCCTGTATACAAATTTTTTTCAAAATTGGTTCAGCCGTTTGAGCGTGAATAAGTATCAAACATACACACACACTCACAAACTTTCGCAATTGTAATATTAGTAGGATTGTTAGAAATGAAAATATGTCATGATTTTTAAAATCAAATGTTCGCCGGCCACTGGTCAATTTATTAATATGTATTCGAAACTAATTAGAGCAGAGTTTCTTTTCTTGACAATAGTTGAAAACAAAATGTGTGCAATTGTGAGTAATGGCGCTCCTTATATAGGTGGCTTGAGGGTTGCTAGTTTAAAAATTGATTATTATTTAACAATGTATATGATGAAAGTCGTGTCCATTTCATTATTTATAACTCGAAAAAGGCTGAACGGATTTTGTTAAGAAAATTATAGGGGATAGATTAGAACCAGGAGGATGCATTGGATTTTCATGCTATTCGATAGGAAAGTAAAAAACTTAAAATTATCCAAAATCTGCTTATTTACTGCTTATAAGAATAGAGTTCGCTTAGGTATACAAACGAAGTCAGGAACAAATACCACTGTATACTGTATATAAACAAACCAAACAAACATAGCTTATTCGTTTGTTTTGTATATTTACCGTCCAATTGAGTTTACTCAGTACCTATTGATAATACACTCAAGTACTAATTGTTTGTTATTGAGACCATATTCTGTCAAGTTTAGGGATGCATCGTAATTGGACAAAAAAATCATAAATTACCAAAAAAGAAATCTTAATATTCAATTTTCTTATTTATTTTAGGCTTTTGATTATACAAATTCCAGTGTCATGCCTATGTTATATAATCAATTGATCAATTGATTACCTAGTTTTTCCAAAACAATCTACTTGTCTGACTTTCATATACATATATAAGTATATAAGCATAATTATATATTTAATTTCAGAGTTACCTCCGGGAACTGATACGGATAATGTTGCCACACTTCTACAAACACCTCGAGAAACACGTTGACGCTATGGAGCTACTGTTCTGTCACAGATGGATCTTACTGTAAGAAGGTTTTACTTATTAGATATGAAAGATATTCCTTTCTTATAACAGGCAATTTCCCAGCTTTAGCCAGGGTCTGCCTTACATGTTGTGAATAGTTTTGGCTAATTGTTTTTACAACGATGTTTAAATATTTTTAGAAAGTACATGTGACTCCGAAAAATCACATTGGTACTTGCCAGGATCGAACCCGCGCCCTCATACATGAGAGGCAGACCTTTTAACCTCTAGGCCACCACTGAATGATAGATAGTATATTATGATAGAAATACAAAATATATACTCGTATTTTTGACACTGCCTTTGATGTATAAATCTTAATAATCTAACTTATATAGAATACAGGAATATTCTAAAGAATAATAAACATTTCTATTAATTTTCCTATATATCTGGGGAAAAAATATACTATAAATACCATGTTTATATTTATGACTCTTATTGTTTTTTAAAACTGTTTTAGGACCCCAACTTAACTGAGAGGTTCGCTACGTTAAAACGCTATTATATGCTATTTGGTAGTTTAATATAATTTTCTTTTACAACCAGCAACACTGAGATCAAATAATATTGTGTTTAATTATATAATATGTCGATTTCTTTTTAGACAAAAAAAATTAAAATGAAACCGGTCCAGTTATTTCTCAACACATTACTTATTCTAACTCCTAACACATGTTCAACAACGGTCATACTAAATAATCTATATATATAAAAGAAAGTCGTGTTAGTGACTGCACTTATAACTCAAGAACGGCTGAACCGATTTAGCTGAAAATTGGCAGGGAGGTATTTTAGAACCAGGAAATCGCAATAGGATACTTTTTATCCCGTTCAACAGCATTCCCGTGGGACTTGACATGAAACGTCAGTCACTATAAAACGTGGAATAACGAAACACAATTGACAGCTATGCAATTGACGTATAATGACAGATATGTAATTTAGTATTTGCGGGATAAATTTAGAAAATCATTGTTTTTCACATGGGCAGTTATAGTTTGTGTGTTCACGAGTTAGGAAACCATACGCTTTATTTGTGTTAACGTTAGAACAAAAAACAAAAAATGTGGTTTACAAAGGAGCACTTCAATGAAACGGATAATTTGCGGACACGTTTAACGCTTCGATTCGGTATCTACTTTGGATTCACTTTCATTTACTTAGAGAAGTTCAATTAAATAACACTTTATTTTTGTAATCGAAATGAATTCATTACTGTTGTGAAATGAAATAAAAATTTTCCTTTTCAAATATAAAACAAAAAAAATCTTCATCTTTTAATCACCAAACGAAATGTTACATAAAACAAAGCCTTCTGGAGGCGAGACGGAGTTCGCCAGGTTTACTAGTATGTATATAAAATACCGAATCTCTCCAAATAGTTTATTGAGCAAATATATAATATCATTATAATACATTATGTACATACCATCGAAACAAATATATATAGAAATCTAAAAACCATAACGAAACTGTTCTTCTTATATTGCTAGCTAGGACTAGCCTCATATTAGGGCTGCCAGCACAAAATATATTAAGAAAAATCACTATTATACTCCTACAGGTGTTTCAAACGTGAGTTTACGGAGGCGGTAGCCCTACGCATGTGGGAGGCCTGTTGGTCTAACTATCAGACGGACTACTTCCACCTGTTCCTATGTCTCGCCATACTAGCGGTGTACGCTGATGACGTCATCGCTCAGGACCTCAACACGGACGAAATGCTGCTACACTTTAGCTCACTGGGTTAGTAGAGGAAAACTACTAGAAATATTCTATAGTTATCAAAATTACTTCGTCGTTTGGACATAGTTTGAGAAAACAATAAGTAAAGTCTAGCTGCCTTGTAAATTGTAATATAAGAAAATGCTTAAAGTTATCTGCTTTGCCTGATCAAACTTTATTAGAAATCTTCCGATATATAAATCTCTTCATAAACCTTTCTCAACTGTCTTTCGAACCTAACTATCGGGTAGAGCTAAGACATAACTTTCATTTTACATACACCTTTTTATTTGTTTTTTCCTTCAAATCATATATAGAATAATTAAACTTTATATTATTTCATACTAACAGCGATGTATATGAATGGTCGCGACATACTCCGCAAGGCGCGCGGTCTCCTGCACCAATTCCGTCAGCTGGTCCGCATACCCTGCACTCTAGCCGGTATGTGTCAACGCTGCGGCCCCGGGATATGGGACTCAACGCACCGCCCCAGCATCGAATGCACCGGAGCACACGACCTTTGCCAATACGTAGTGCAGTGAATTAAAAAAAAATAGCTACAATATGATAACATTCGAAATTTAAATTTGAATGCGGTAAAGCTTCGAAATTTGTTAAATAGTTTTTTATAGCATTCGAAGTTTAAATTTGAATGTGTTAAAGCTCCAAATTTTGTTCAGTAGGTTTTTATAGCATTCGAAATTTAAATTTGAATGTGTTCAAGCTTAAAATTTTGTTTAATAGGTTTTTATAGCCTTCGAAATTCAAATTTCAAAATGTTGAAACTTTAAATGCCATTATATACGTTTTTTTAGGATTCCAAATTTAAACTTCAATGCGTTAAAGTACCTATATTGATGGTCCTTTTTTCATAAATAAAAAATTTATATTGAAAAGGGATTAAAATGAAAATATGTTTTAATTCATTTAAAAACAAACATTTTGGAGTCATTTAGTTCAGGTTTATAAAAAAACATATTGATACATTCGATCAACGTATTTGTACATACGTTATTCTATGATACTTAAGGCTTTTAATAGAAGCATTATATGAAAAAGTATTACCAGGAATTTGAAGATATAAACTTGTAATAATTTTATTTTCGTTGTATTATTAAATATAAAATATACCCAACTGTTATATATTTTATGGGTATATTATTGTTAAATTATAATATCATACAATAACGAAAATTTCATGTTGAATATCATTCAATATTATCAGAGAAAGCATTTGTTAAAAATTTGAAAAAACAAGTAAACTACGAGAGTTAAGATATTTAATAGATGGTTATTATAAACTAGTCAAATTATTCGATTATAATACGCTACAAAATATAATTTAAGTTTTAAACAAAACTAGTACTGTTATTGACATAGGTGTTGGATGTATTGAATTTCTTGTATCAAAAAGGTCGTATAGGTAAAAAAAAATATTTTATAATATTACCTATTATTCAGTTTTCACATACATCTGTATTCCAAAAAGTCATTTAGAAAATGTTGCCATATATGTAATTTAAAATATCAAGGTTATGTTTGACAAATTAGTTTTTGAGTTTGTTGTATAAAAATAGTGCACTGATATTTTTTTTGTTTTTATAAAATTTAACATATCAGGAAACTTATCCGATGTGTTCGAAACATATTAAAATATATATTTTGTCAAAATGCGAAACATTGTACCTGCCTAATTCATGTAATGTAATTTAAGTACCTGGCAGTTTAAGACCTTACGTGATAGAAAATATATTAAATGGAATGTTTCATTCCGTAATTATTTTATCTAATAATAAGTCGACCGGATAATGGAATATTGTGTTTTTGGATTCAATTTAGGGCTGGCATGTACCAAATATACTTGCGCGGATAAATGTCAAATAATAATAATTGACATAACTTTCTTATGTTAAATGAAACGAATATAAATATATTCTGTTATTAGAAAGGATCAGTTGCATTTAAACCTCTCTGTATCCATTGTATAGTTTTAAGATTGAGCTTATTTTGTATTCATTTGCGTTAGACCCTTTGTATAAATTTTTAAGGCCAAAGCGATGGTAAATATTTTTTGGCACCGTGTGAATTGTTATATTCTGTGATATATATTGATCTGCTTGAAAATAAAATTACAGCGAATATGATATACCATCATAGTCGTATTTATAGATATATATGGAAATGTAATTAAATCGATACTGCAGATTTTATTTTTTCATTTTCTGAAAATCCGATCTAATTAGTTTTATACGTAGGTATATCAATTAACGTCAAAGACATAATGACTTGATCCTTGAGTTAATGTTATTTGTAACCAGTAACATACTGACATGAAAATTCTTCTTCTTCTTTTAGTTAGTGGCGTTTCCTTATAGATTTCGCCAATGTCGACATGAAAATAAGTATATAAATAAGTATTTTTAATCTGTGGCCATATTCTTTATTTCACAAAACCAATATTATTTCTGGTGACAGAAGACACTAACTATTATTTTTCCTTTTAATTATTTAGTATCTTGCGTAAAAAAAAAACATTGATCATTTTTGTCTTGGGCTAAGAACTGATTATCAAGCAGATTTTATTTTTGTAAATGACAATTCACTTATTTTGACATTTAATCATTTGATGTTACTTGTTAGTACTTCATAGTTCATACTTGGTTTTCCGATAACCGGCTTGCTATGTTATTGTTTGAAGTGGAATTATATAATCGTAAATAAGATATAGAATACTTGCTTTATTGATATTTTTCATTTATTGCGTATTTAGAATTTAATAATTTTATCTATAAAAGATAATAAATTTCAACATATATTTACATTTATTCTTTTATAACATACAGTGCCCTCGCATATTGGGTTGGGATGGTTCGGGCACTGTTGTTGGAAGAGGTGACTGTTGTAAAATATTTAATATTGGTGACCCTGTATTTTTCACTGGTGATTTAAGGAAAAATGGTTCCAATGCACAATATGTTGCACTCAATGAGATCATGGTTGGTCCGAAGCCTAAAAATCTAACATTTGAAGAAGCTGCCGCCATGCCTTTAACAGCTGTCACGGCTTATGAGTCACTGTTTGATCGTCTTAAGTTGTCCAAAAATGATGCCGGTAAATCTTTGTTGATCATCAATAGTTCAGGAGGGGTTGGAGCTGTGGCTTCACAATTGGCTAATAATTTAGGTCTTAAAATTATTGGCACTGCATCAAGAAAGGAGACAGAAACATATAGTTTGGAACACGGTTGCCATTTTGTCCTCAACCATACTAAAGACCTCCTACCGCAGCTAGAAGAGAAAGGTTTTAAAGAAGTCGACTTTATTATGGTTAATTATGATCCTTATCCATACTGGGACACTATGATGAAAGCTATTAAGCCTCAAGGCAAAATTTGCTTGATTGTTGATAGCAGCGGCCTGGTCGATTTGAAACCTATGAAAGATAAAAGTGTCACACTGGTTTCGGAAATGATGTTAACTAGAATTAAATATGAAACCGAGGATATGTTTAGGCATCATGAGATCTTGCAGGAGGTGTCAAAAATGTTAGACAGTGGTATCTTAAAGACTACAGTTACCAAAATTCTTTCACCGATTAATGCTGATAATCTTAAAGAGGCACATAAATTATTGGAGAGTAAGCGAATGATTGGTAAAATTGTCCTTTCCGGATTCTAATCAATAAAATTTAAGCAAACAATCAGATAAATAATATATTATTTACTACCACAATTTTTTAATCAATATCCCCCTTTTTAAATACAGCTGCTTAACAAATTCTAAACTAGGTCCACTACAACTATGAACTTCAAAAACATTTCATTAATTTATTAGTTCTCAATAATCTGGAATTAACAATACAATTTGTGATAATGATAATTAATTATTAATATTTTCTTAACAAACATCAATCCTGAAAAGTATAAATATTCTATTTGTTACAAGCTTTAAAAGTAGTTGTAGTTTTTGACTGATTTATCATAAATACATTAAAAAGTGTTACTCGGTTGGCTTTATATAAAACATTCTGTTACAAAGAATTTATGGAAATACAGAGAAAATTACATTTATGTTACAATTACATTACTTTACATACATTAAGAGACTCCAGACTACTAAAAAAGTAGAAAATACTAGGCCTTGGACTTAAAAGGTGATAAAGAAGACTGGAAAGTATTTTCATGTTTTAGGATAGGAAGTAAATCTAATAATTAATTGTTGCAAATAATAGCTATCAATATTTAATACAGAAATGCTAATAAAGTTTATTTTTTGAGTACATTAGGATTAAATTCTGTTCCTTTGAAGGGGGATCCATCTATATTCCAGGCTTTTTTGAGTATTTCAATGTTTCTTATTTCATCACTAGTCGGAAGGCCTTTCATCTTTTGTTCCTGATTCCATTGCAGTTCCCTTACCTATTTAAAAAATAAATTACAATCTTATATTGGTATAACTTTAAAGGTTTTTAACTATCTTGAAACGTAAAACTTATATTTAAATTAATGTAAGTTTCACTATGGGTTTTTAAATAGTACTTTATATCTACAGAATACAAATGTTTCTGTAAAAACAAAAACCATGATCACGAGTGGACAAGCTAAAAGCATCTCATCATTTAATATGTTAAAATCAGTCTGCAAAAATATTATGATTATTAAATTGTTTAATTCACACCAAATCATACAATACCTTAGCAACATGATCTTCTGGCAAATCATCCAAAGGTCTTGAACAATCAATTTTAGATAGGTCTATCTCCTCTTCTCCAGAAAGGAATTTGTTCCACCATCTTTCTTGTACCTTTTCTGAAGAAATAATTAAAATAAACTCTAATTATGTGAAACTCTTAATAAATAATACTACTAAAATCTTAATAGAAATTGTGTTTACCTAAATGAATTAACATTTTCCCTTCACTCACACTCCAAAAGCTTTCCATAGTCTTTATCTTATATGGGAGGGAATCTTTGATAATTACATTATTGGCGTATGAAACAGAAATATCTCCAGGATTTATTGTAACTTTTAATGCTTTTGGCTTTATATCTGGTGGTAATTTCAGTGTTACATCTGTGAATAAAATGTTCAACTTGTGTCATATTAATATACAGTAAGTAGTAAATAGAAGATAGTTCAGGTAAACAATGTTTCCCAAAGTGGGTGATAAGACCCTCTTGTGGGAACTGTAGTCCTATAAAAAAGAAACCTAGAAAAATGGGGGGGGGGTTGTGTAAGCCTCGAGGGTGTTTTGTAGTTTCATTTAGCTAGGATAAGTTATAGTGGTTTTTCAGTAGGTGTAAACAATTTGGTTGCTAAAAATAATTAATTCTCATAGTACGCAGAAAGCAAAATAAGTTTGGGGACCCCTAATTTAGAGTGTTACCAGTTTTTCATTCATAGCTTTTGTCACATGATATTGTCAAAATAGGATGACAAATCCAAAACTAAAGATACCTTATATTTAGGGTGATTATTAACTTGTATTCAGTTAGAACAGTTATAGTGAAATATTTTAGTGACATTTGTAAATAATAACATGTATAAAACTATATCGATATATATGTCAAATAAAATGCACTCTTACCTAAATCAGTAATAGTCTGTGCCCAAGAGTAATTTTCTCTTATAGCCCCATTGTAAGACTCACTGCTCTTTTGTACTGGAATGTATGGTGGTTCATAATCTTCTGGAAACACAGATCTGTCATCTTTTGATACATCTATATTATCTCCTTGATTCATTTCACCAAGATGAGTTTCTGGATCAAGTTTATCAGACTCTTGTGGTGAGTCATCTTCTTCAGCAGCAATTTCTACCTCCTGGGCAACCGTTGAACACATGATTTCGTTGTTAATATCTGCAGATTTTGTGCTGTCGGTCCATCCTTTTGGATCACATTTACGCAACACTTTAAGCACCAGTTCTTCAGCTACCCCTGGTGGAAAGCCCATGTTCTCGTAAGGTCCTTCAGGAACATAATAAAAATCAGTTCTGTAATACAAGATTTATTAGTTTGTAAACAAAAAGTTTTAATATTAAGAAAGTTAACAAAAATAAATACCGTCGAGCTAGGAAATTAAATATTGCAGATAGAAATCCTAATATTGACTTCTCATTTACTAATATCGATGTCAAAACATCGTCATATTTACTAAATTCATTCACTTCTGACATTGTGTCGTTTATAAAAATCAAATAATATGTTTTATAATTTATTATTCTCAAAAGTTCATAACAAAACCGGGCGTACAATCATTCTTCTATTGACAGCTGTCTAGCTATGAGTTAGTGACTTTAGAATAAATTCATAAATATAGACAGTGACACAAGAAACAGACAATAACATGGAAATCAATAAAAAGTTTATATCTTTCATACAATTGATCTTTATACTTTTGTAGTGATAAATATTTAATTTTTTACGCTTACCGGATGTTATATTATCCTACAATGAAATTGAAAAATGAAAGTAACACCATCATAATACCACAAAAAGATTTGAGTATTATGTGTAAAAAGGTATGAAATAGAAATCCAACTTTAAAATATCGATCGCAAATACATGTACAGAGATAAGAACCAAATAATATTTAAAAAAATATAATATTTGCATACGGTATGTACTATAATTTATAAGTTCTTTATTTTATATTTTCTAGACTGGTATCACCAGAACTGGTTTTTTTAATTTGCATTCTGGCCACTTGGGGGAGCTCATTCGCTTTCGAAAGTTTCACATCCGTAAGAGAGCGGCAAGGCAAGACGGTGCGAAGTAGGCGAAGAAGTCTCGCGCGCGAATTCGGTACGCTGCTGGCGATGACCGCAATCGTATGAGTTTTTATTTTACTGTGAGAGTGCTGTCGTGTTTCCCGTCCCGTTAAGTGTTTACGAAAATGCTGCATACATAAACTTTACCAAATAGACTGTGTTGTGATTGTGTTTTTATATATATTTTTATCTTCTATCTATTGTTATCTTAAAGGTTGTAAGAATGCCTTGCTCAGCGGTAACTTTGTCTATAGCGACCATTACAGCAATCATTGCTGCTGCTCTTATGGCAATAGCATTTACAACAGACAACTGGCTTTATGTCGAAGTTAAGCGTAGTAACATACAGGTAAAGTAGTTTTAAAGTTATTTTAAATTATTTTCTCTATTTTATTCATTCATTCATACGTAATTTTTAGAAGTTATAATAATGGAGGGTATTTCAAAATAAAAAAAAATCTGTTAGATTTGAAATTTGTTTTACAAATAACTCATTATTTATAACATATAATTTATAATAAGTAAATATCTATGCTAACAATACGACTAATTTATAAATAACTAAAAGTTCGTGAGTGGGACCTAATTAGCTAGCCGTTGACGAAACTGAGGTTTTTCAAACAATGTATGTAGGTAGCGTTATTAATTTTTGTAACACATGAAGTCCTTGCTCATACACCGTTATGAGACACGATGCGCATAAATATGCAAGTATTTAATAGCACGAACATGTGTGTAACTGTACTGTTCCGTGAGCGACTCCTGCGCATCTACTCGTGCTAAACCAACTAGCGATAAAGGCTGTCACGAACCACCATAGAATCCCGGTTATTTTAAACATGCTTATAATAGCTTCAATTGTATGTTTTTATACTATAACAAAGCTATTTAACGTAGTATGTATACGTAGTAATATTTTTAAACATACATATACTTATTCATACTGCTCATTGATTCGAAGTTGTTTTCGTACGAGAATAAAACAATGTCTTAACTCTTAATATACCAACTTCCTGTTGTCATTGAAACAATGAACCATTAGACGTGTGATAGGTTTTGTCGGTAGAATAGTATTCTTACTACACGTTCATATTCAAACTTAATAAAGTTATTTTTTAGTTTTTCATACATATGTGAAAGTATGACGAATTTATATGAATGAAGTACTGGATTTTGACATTTTAGTTCCATCATGCAATTTCATAGCAAAAGTTACAGGTTAAATTGACTCGAATTATGAAATCTAATTACGTTATTATAGAAATAATACTTTTTGAACGGATGTTAAAATGTTGCCTTAGTTCTCACTAAACGAATGTGAAAACGACACCTATTTCTACCTGATCATAACTTTCTACCTGCTCATCCCTTTTTGAAATTGTAGATTAAATATGATATGACTTTGAGAGGTTTCGGAAATACAAAAAGCTAACAGCTCAGGCATTACTACCAAAAACACAAAACTGATTTTTCTACTTTATATTTTAAATATTACTGCCGTTTCTTCTCCACGAAATGAATTTTGAAGGTTTTAATTTTCATAAACCTAAATTTCCTTTATCCAGAACCTTCTTTACTATCATTTCGTCAATATTAAGTTTAACAAGTTTTTCAATCCAATCCATCACATTAATGAGACACTCCATACATAGCTAGCAGTGTAATTTAAACTTATGTTAACAATTTTATACCATTCAATATATATTTTAATTAATAAAACGTTCGACACATTTTTTACTCACCTCCATTCACTTGACATCAGGTAAACATGTGTTATGCAAAGAAGAAAGTTACTCAAGCAAACTAATATTATTCGAGTCGAAAGCGGCACTTTCTGCATAATAACTGAAAGGCATTGATGTAACCTGTCTGCGACAATTAAATGTCTGATAATATTTAATAACTCATTATTTTTATATAACTTTGTAACAATCTTAACATTATATATGTATGTATATGTATTCTCCAATATATATTTTTGCGTATCCGAGGTTGAAACTACGCGCAAGGTCACTTAAATAGCAAGTTATTAATTTTTTTGCTATACTATTCATATTTGGTATCTTTTTTGTTATTTATAATATGTTAGTGTGATATTAATGTACAGAGTCAGCAATATATTTATTTTCAATGTTTCAATAGTAATGTAAAAGTTATAACAATTATTATATACAACCTGCTTTCTTGTCTTCTCACGAGTACCGATTGAGGTTGCCAGTAGTCCGCTTTCTTGACATTATCTGTAGTATTAGGCGTAGGAAAATACTTTTTCTCATGTACACTATTAATTGTTACCTTCCTAGCTTTGTGACTTTCTAAATGGTCAAGAAATGTTCGTTCCTATGATAATGTTATGCATAGAGGAAAGTTATGTATAATTTATGTTCAAGTTTATTATATTTCATGTTAATTTCATACAAATTGGTTGGTTTTTAATTATTAATCGCATAAAAAGATACGTACTTATTTTCAATGGTATTTCAATATATTTTTAATTAAAATTTAAATGATGATATGTATAAAATTTGAAGCCTTTGAATGTGTTTAATTTCCCAACGTTTTGACGATTACCACCTTTAGCGATTGCTTATATGAAGTTATAACAGATATTTGCCTTTCACTGAACGTGTATATATTAAGACATTTTGATATATATACATATTATGAATATATAATGTAGCTACTGATTATCTTTCTTCTTCTATCTGGCAATTTCCCAGCTTTAGCCAGGGTCTGCCTTACATGTTGTGGATAGTTTTGGCTATTTGTTTTTACGATCGGCCGCCTGTCTGACATCAACCCTCTTTGGGAATGCATTAATCAGTGACTGATGTCTAAATACTCTTAGAAAGTACACATGATTTGGAAAAATCACATTGGTACTTGCCAGGGCCAGGATTGAACCCGCGCCCTCATGCATGAGAGTCGCGCCTTTTAACCAATAGTCCACCACTGACTAGCTACTGATTATATCAATAAGCAATAATTTCCTAACACCGACCCTAATTCTCGTGTCTTAATCAACAAATCAAACAATTGCACCCGCAAAAAGAATGCGATGAAAATTGCATTAAACTTTCTCAGCTGCAATCTGTCATACAGGAGTTACGAAATTAAATTGTGCAACGCTCACAATAGGGTCGACACACCGGTTAGTTAAGGGCCAGTTAATTACATGATTTCATTGAAATTTATTAAGTTTCTTTTGATATTTAATTATGAAAGTAGTCCGTTACTCAACGAGATAACGTTTTTGTATCCGTCGAAATGTAATTCGTAGTATGTAATTGTAAGTTTAGGTGTAATTTGCGCACGTTAAAGCTAATTTGTATTTCATAATGACCTTAATAGGAATCCTTAATATATTTTAATGAGTATTTTAATTATTGAATGTTTATCGTGTTAATGTGACTCCAGTGACGTAATATTTCTAAGTATTTTAATGTGAAACCGATTCCCCATTACTAGTTTTATATGGCATAAGCAAATCCGCGGCGTAAACCTAGTTATAATCAAATAAATTTATGTAGGTCTTGCATTGCTCTCCCATGATTGTGCGTTAGTACCTTTCGTAATTTCATTGTTATGCAAAATATTTTGATATGACGACGGCTAATTATGTATTTTTTATCGTATTACTTTTAAAATAACTTTAAAAGACCTAAAAAGTTAATTTTGCTTTTTGTTTAAAATACCAGGTGAATCTGTTATCGATTAATCAATTTCGATTTGCATAGTTTTAAAGTTTGACACACTTATCTTGTTCAAAGAAGTTGTCCAGAACTTACAAATTTTATAATCTTTAGTATGAAAAATGAATACAAATACAACCTCTTTTCCTCTATATCTTGCACTATTAAAACAAAAAAAAGGAAAAAATACAAAAGAGAACATATATGAGTACGATTGAAAATTCTTCTATAGTTTGACTTATAGTTTATACTTTATAGTATTATAAATTATGTCTTAATAAAAAAAAAATACATTAAAAGAGGTTCTATATATACAGGGTGACTGGTGAATTACTATCGATATTTGAGGACGTGATATTTGACGATCATATATGACAAAATAAAAATTAATATAACATAAATATTAATAAACTTCTAAGTAAAGGAACTAGGAACACTTGGAACACTTGGAACGTGTTCACACTTTATTTATTTATACGGAAATTTGGTCAAAAATTAAGTACCTATTTTTTTTACATAATTCGAATGAGAATCATGTACCGAGTATTCTCCTTAAATATTGATAGTAATTCACCAGTCACCCTGTATAATTCGCAATAAGTAACACACATTCAAACACAAAGCCACCTGTAATCTTTTGAACCTGTCACTTACTTGTCGAGGTGTTCAGTACATCTGATCGCAGGTTGAAACATAATTCCTACACATTTAATAGCAGATGTAATATGGAATGTTGAGGTCGAAGTGTATTGAAATTTGAATTATTTTATATGTAGGCTCATATGTTCTTTGTTATTATAATAACAAATAGTAGTTATATATATGGGTATTGTTATAAGTCGTATAAATAAACTGTTAGTTGAATTAAAAATTAAACCCAAATTATAGTATGATAAATTCGCTGCTAAGGATTGAGGAAAATTTCTTTCTATATTGTCATTTTAATTTTCAAAACAAACAGCACAAAATAACTTAAATTAAATAAATATTTAATACGTAATACCCATTTTCAGATTAAACATAATAAAAAGGTATAATCGTGAAAATATTAATACTATTATTTGATCGTATTAGTACCTTTGTTAGTGTATAATACATATTTGTTAACTCACATATTTGAACCTACGAGATCTTAAATCAACTTCTGAAATAGTTAAATTCATTACTAGAAAGGAATAAACCAAACAGTTCATTCACCACGGAGTTTTTATTCATAATAAAAAATGATTTATATTTTGATATAATATTACAAATTATAAAATAATCTAAAGATTCTGTTACCGGACGCAATGACAGCTGAGGTAAAATATAAAACCTCAGTTTTAAACACAATAGCAAAGGTTTCTGAACTTGATATCGCCATAAGGTCTCTCTGTATGTGTGAGTGTGTTGTATGTGTGTGTAGCGGCATTGCAAGGTTATCGGGTGCGCACGCGCATGCCTCAACAACGTACTTATATTACTAACTGCCAACAATCATGGCAGCATTGAATGTAACTTGCTATGGAATTTTAAACGTTTGTATATCTGAAACTAATATTGTTATTAATTGATATAAAAAATATATGTTTTGTTATAAAGTTATATATGTATATATAAGTGAAAATTATTTTAATATATGATCACTAATGTAAAAAGGTTCCATTAAGCTGTACGTGCTATCTCGTCGCAATATTATCAACATTCATGATTAATATTCTTGTATATTCATCTTATAATGATTCTCGTCTCCATAATAACTGTACCACATACCTTATACCAGATTTTTATATATGACGCAGTAATGTATGTTTCTTCCTGCTATTTCTAACATATGTCATATTTATGTATGTATTTTATTTTATTCAAGCAGTCAGTGGTGGCCTAGTGGTTAAAGGGCCCGCCTCTCGTTACCGAGGGCGCGGGTTCGATTCTGGCCTGGGCAAGTATAAATGTGATTTTTTCGAACCATATGTACTTTCTAAGAATATTTAGACATCGCTGATTAATGCATTCCCAAAGAGGGTTGTTGTCAGGCAGGCGGTCGGTGATAAAAACAGTTAGCCAAAACTATTCACAACACATAAGGCAGACCCTGGCTATAGATGGGAAATTGCCAGGTAGAAGAAGAAGTGTATAGTACTGTCTATTGATATATGTTGTAGACCATAGTTGAGATTTCAACGCGTTCAGAACCAAAACTATAATTATACGTTCTGCTTACAAATGAGCTATATGTACTGATTAATTATTGATACATGTATACACATATATATTTTATATCGGACATGATAATATTCGTTGGCCAAAATCGTCCGGATGTCACTGTTTTCTGAGTGAAAGTATAGACAATGGCCAGCCGATGTTTTAATTGCAAACGAAAGTCAATTTTTGATTTCTATGTCACATGGACTCCATTCCGAGTTCCGACGTATTAAACTCTCACCAAGTCGCCACTAGCAAATATTAAATGAATATACTTGATATATAAATGATTAAACATATTCATTAAGTAGATTTCTATGTTATATTTATATTAGTATAAACAATATTTACACGATAGGTGAAAAAATAATGTATAAAATTACTTAGATTGAATGATGGCTAAGATTTTCGGTTTCATCTCGTCCGCCCGTGATCACGGTTGCTGTACCTAACCGAAGGTCGGGATTATTTAGTTAAAATAATATAAACCGAGTAATATAACAAAACGTTCGTTGCATTTAAATAAATACTTATCTTGAATTTGTTTTAAATAGAATAATATTACATTCACAATCGGATAACTTTTTATTCATCGTAATTAAACCAATGCTTTATTTAGGCCCTCAATATTAAATACTTAATTATATAATAAGAAATATTTTAATAGTAATGTACATATATTACTAACGTAATAAACAAAGCCGTAATATTGTTTTGGATTAAAAACAATCAGGTAATCAAAAATCATCGATCCTAAGTTGAAGGAACTTCTCGGTTGGTTGATTACGGGAGATCAGAAAAACATTACTTACCCATCTACAAGTATTACAAATACCCTTACTATGAGTTCTCATCGACAAACTGAAGACGTAGAGTTTCTAGTATTCCGTTTTAATCTTACCAAAAGTTTATAAAACGTTCAAATTATGCGTATGTACGTAATAAGTAGCACACTTCTGATAGATCATGTATCACGGAACACTTAATTATAAGAAAGTAATGTATTATTATTTTAATTAACTTTATAAATAGCAGTATTTAAGAATAGTAATTTCCCTCCTCTATAATAAAAGTACATGATACTGCATATTAGGGATGTGCTTTGTAATATGTAGAATCTAGCATTATTTACGTATTAAATTCTGGCATTACTCTGTCATTTCTTAAAATCTTTTACGTATTTATTACATTATTAAGAGTAGTTATCTCTTCTACCTGGCAATTTCCCAGCTATAGCCAGGGTCTGCCTTACATGTTGTGAATAGTAAGAGTAGTTATATATACATATAAATGTATGTACTAGGAAATCTACATATGTATTAAACATAAATTATTATAATAATTTTCCTGTTTACCATATATCTGTTTATTTAATTAATATATTACATTAATTTGAATTATTTACATATAAATAAATTTAAATATCAGTTTAGGACTAATAGTGTAAAAGACATGCAAACATACAATATAATCCCTACTAATATTATAAATGCGAAAGTAACTCTGTCTGTCTTTCAAGCCTAAACCACTGAACTAATTTTAATGAAATTTGGTACATAGATAGAGTTGTCCTTGAGAAAGAACATAGGATAGTTTTTATCCCGGACTTTTGAAAGGTTCTCTTGGAAACGCGATATAACCGAACTCCACACGGGCGAAGCTGCGGGCAGAAAGCTAGTTGTACATAATATATGAAAAGTTCTTACCACCACTTTATGTACACACTAGATATATTAGTTTTTGCATCATCAATGTACTCATGCCTCGACGAACCAGTTTTTATAATAGAACGTCTCAGCTTAATAGAAATTGAATTATTTATACATACATGTTTATCAACCTGTCTTGTGCCAGCTACTTTCATTTCCACATATAGTGACGCGTAATTCCGCTGTTTATTTTTGTATATAAATAGTTTTGTGAAGCTTTGCATGGATTTATTAGAGGATATTGCGTTCAAATATATATGTGTATATACATATATATATATATATATATTTTGAAACTATGCTATGCAGTATGCTATGCTTAATTTGTAATATGGGAAACAATATCGTTTTTTTATATTAAGTATTTATATTATTACCAGTTCAAGTGACTATATTCGGTTTGTTTAAAATCCATTATAGGAATTCTGTTTTAAAGAACAACTAGGTACAAACTTCGGTTGTATAATTTATTAATATATATTATGATAATCATTTAAATATATATAAGTACATATTTATAAAGAAATTATTTAAAATTGCACGTAATAAAAATTATCAACAAGTACATAATATTATAAGTTTTTTATTGTGTTACCAGTTAAGGAATTATTGAAACAGTTCTCAAGCTATTAAATTTTTTTACTTGTTACATATATTTAATTTTTCATGTATTTAAAAGAAATTATAGTTATCATACAGACATTGCATGTTTTTGTAAGTATTCATTCTTAAGTATTTGTGCAATATAAGGTCTTTCCTTGGACAGATGAATGAATTTAAATTAAGATGTTTTTTATCTGTGCTTATAAATCAATTATAACTATTTTAATGGTATTCCTTTAAAAAATATTCTCCTATAATTTAGTTTATTACGAAGGGTTAAAGTAATTTCGGTGAGCTTCTTAATAGTGAATTATATTCGCCCTTGAGGATCACCTCGAGTCTGGAATGAGACCGGTTCCGTTTACCCCACGCTTCACTACACCGCCATCTTAGTTACAAATTATTGTTAATAGTTTCTTCTATAATATCTATATATTATCAATAAAAAGGTTTTATATCTAATAACAAATTAATATATTCTGTACCGTTTAATAAAGAAGTCTGAATAGATTCTATATTTGAAATTAAAAAAATTACGTTCATAAATTTTTCTACATTGAAATATAAAAAATGAATTCTTTGTATTTTATTAATAATGTAAACAATGGAAGTTTTTGTAATAAGAATGTTTATTTAAATTTTATAGCGTACATATTTGTAGATAAGTTAGAACGATATGCACTGTACGAGTGTAAAATAAGGAAATTGTTAATGTGCCTAGTTTAATTCCGTATTGAACTACGTCATTCCTATTCTATATATTTTCTTTTGGATGTATTGTTTATATGATGTTCTTTACAGACGTACGTGACAGAGAACACTGACATCAATTCGCAAGCGATCCTGGACAGTTTAAATACCAAGTACTACTTCTTCACAAGGACGCGGGGTTTATTCCGTATCTGCTACCCCAAGGAGCGACCGAATACTGGTATGTTCCAGAATGTTCTATTTACACACTACATACATGTACAATACAATAAGTCAGTGGTAGTCTAGTAGTTAGAAGGGCCACCTCTCATGCATGAGCGCGGGTTCGATCCTGGCAATACCAATGTGATTTTTCCGAGTCATATGTACTTTCTAAGAGTATTTAGACATCACTGATTAATGCATTCCCAAAGAGGGTTAATGTCAGGCAGGCGGCCGGTTGTAATAATTAGCCAAAACTATTCACAACATGTAAGGCAGAGCCTGGTTAAAGCTGGGAAATTACCAGGTAGTAGAAGATACATCTACAATACCGATTAATGGCGCGAAAAAATCTTAATTTTGCGTTCGGAAACTTAAAATAATTATAAACTGTATATTATGTTCTTTAATTGATTCATTCATTGATATTAAATTAACATTAATTATATTATTAAATAAACCGCAGTATTACGTTAATTAGGAAGCGGCTATCATCAAAGTACGTCCAGAACTAGTTCAATGCGTTTTTCTATTACACTTATCCCAATTACGCGTATTTCCATGTAGTTATTAAGAACTATTGGAGCAAAGCATCATTGTTTTATGAATATAATACTTATTTATATTAAAATAGAGCTGAAATTAGTTTGTATGTTATATAGCGTTTGTATCACGAAGACATGTATAACTGCACAATTTTGCATAAGTTAATGCTGTTTTGTGTTTGACCTTATTACCTTCTATTAATATTAGTATTTTATTTGTATGAAGATTTTAATTTTAGTTATTTATATGTAGTTGATTTAAAACATTTAATGTTTTTCATAGCTACAATAAAAGGGTAAATTTAATATTAATTTATATTGTTCTATACAAAAAAGTAAGAGAATTTAACATTTTTGTAATATGTTATGTATATCTTGTAATAACGGTTATGTATATCTTCTTCTACCTGGCAATTTTCCAACTTTAGCCAGGGTCTGCCTAAAATATAACGGTTATGTATATATATGAATATATAATAAAATTCCACACAAAGATAACATATCATTAAAAGATCGCTGTGTTTTTTTAAAGAAGATTAATTTCGTGTCATGCAAAATTTCTAATGGAACCGGTGTGAAAGCCGTAGTCAACCTGCAGTCGACTTAGCCTAGAAAATTACTAAGAGCATAGATAATTCATTATTTTTTAAATGTTATGCGTCTCATTCAACTGTTCGCTGTTAAATATTACAAATGGCCGACAGTAATGACGGCTAGTGGGCTACTTTTGAAGAATTTTCTTCTTAAAAGAACTGAAATTCGTATTATAAATACTTTACTTTCATTATAAGTATAAAGTTTATGTTGTTTTGAACATATGTATAAGTATATCCTTATTATATTCTGTTCAGTCGTGAAGGACCTTTCATTTGTAATAAATGAATATTTTCATTACATTCGTTACTAATTCGAAAGTAAGGCCTTACGACCCTCTTACATCGCAATCGGTAGTGTTAACACGTAGTACGACCACCACACGTTTGTATAATGTAGGACAATTTGAATATAATTTTAATTCGTCGCCGAAGGTCTGAGCTGTACGTGATAGGCTGAATGCCGTCCGATTTTAGCCGTGTACAATTCGACATTAAAAAAAAAAAATAAGTACGCATATTCGCGCCTTTTTCGTAAAGTAAAATAAAATATGTTTCATATATAGTAGAAATCATTAACATCTAATAGTGCAATTAAGTATGTTATTATCTAATGCGGAAATACAACTATCGCATAGCTTCAACTGTGTACTAGACTTGATAGGGCACGTTCATATGTTTCTGTGACATACGCCTTGTTTTAATGTGAGTGACATCACTATACAACGGTTTTCTGACCCAAATTATAATAATATACAACATTAAGTCTTAAAACTACTTAATTCTATAACTTTGTATTTAATTTGAGACTTAATATTTGATACATAATTTCAATAAAACAACCGGGATTTATATAGTAAATATTTTTTTATAGTCGCATATTTGTAAGCCATATTCCGTTTAAAATAATTTGTTTACTTTTTATTTGTTGTGTAATTATACATTGCATTTTTGTTCTTATAACTTTTGTACATATATGTATAGTATACCTAGTTGTATAATATTTCAATAAATGACGTAATAATCCTTATTATTTGAAGATTTTGACGTATATTTTATTTTCGGCAATATAAATTAGTATTTTATTGTTCAAGTTAAATGATTACAAGTAAATTTATAAATGAAATCGGATGTACGGAAACAATTTATACGGATTATTAGTTACGATAAGATTCATTCATTGTTGTTTTTTTTTACGGCAAGCCTGTCGCCCGTTTCCGATTGATTAACCTTGACCACTTGTCCTCAGTATTAAATTTCGTTTTCAATGCAGAAAACAATCGGTTTATAAAAACAATATATAATGAATATCTTATATATAAAACAATAAGAGAATATAAATGTTGCCATTGCCTAATACAACCTAAATACAGACAGCAGGTTAGTGAGGCAACACCTCGATTTTGTTGGCGAATTAATTCACACAAGTCATGCAACTTGAATTGAATTGAATGTAATTTTTACACACGCCTTTTTAAATATAATAAAAATGCTAATAATACCGCTGTTTTTTTGAATAATTACGTTAATACCAGTTCGTGTTAATGCGTCCGCCATTTTGATTTTTTTTGTCGTATGTAATTAACATCGGCTGTATGTGTGTATGTGTGAAAATCGTAATATGTTTGAGCAAAAAGGTTTTAATAGCAACGAACTACGAATATATTGGATGGAATTTATGTATTTAACATATAACGTCAGGTGAAATCGTCGGTCTACAAACCGAGTGACGACCGGTCGTGAGGGAATGACGGTATGAAGAGATGACTCGCTCTCAGGTCTCAGTGGAGTTTGAAAGGTCGCGTCTTGAAACAACTGGTTTTTTTGATGTTATATTAAAAGAATATTAAAGATTTCCTCATAATCATATATATTTAGAATCTATACAGTTAGATACTAGACATCGAAAATAACTCAAATATTTATCACAATACACCTAGTAATGTATGCAGTATGATACATAATAATAATAATATATATAATAAATGTTTTATCATTCAAGATATAAATTAGTTAATGAGAAGCAAACGGCTATAAGCTATACTAATTGTAAATTCTATAGATAAGTTGTCTGTGGTATTTAGAACGCCTTACTCTTTGGATAGATTCTTGTCTATGCATATATATTTGGTCAGCTATTAAACAGCCAGTGCTCAATTTAAATTATTTAATATTAAATATTTGACGAATAAGTAAAATAAAGGATTAATTCATTTCAATAAGGGTAATTACACATTTATAACACGCAAGTTACTTATTATTTTATAAAAGGTTTTTTTATGCTCGTATATATTTTGTCAAACAAGTTTCCAGCGTGAATGTGTCCTAAATAAACTTGGTAAACTTAGATTTAGCTAGAGGTCAACCAGTATAACGAGCGAATTCTTAATACATGACTTATTTGGACCTAAAATCTACACCTTTTATACATTTATATCCTTAGTTGAATTCAAAATCTAGCTTTGAAAATCTGGGTCGAGTGTATATATTTCTTGTAAAATGTACTAGTGTTTATAGTTTATGTGGTCGTATATAAAATACTTAAAATGTATGTCATTATTTGTACTAATTAGTTTAGTCATTTGGTTAGCAATAAACAGAATATAACAGGAAAGACGTAAATAACACCGGATAACATTAGTAACAAATTATACGAAGTATTCAATACGGGTTTAAATGTAAGGTAAATGACCCAAATAAGGCCTACCTTAACTTTGTTATTATCTAACTAGCGGATTTATAATAACAATGCACTGGTAATTTGATATTACTATATTTATTTATTAAACTTTGTAATAAATCAAACAAAATTACTTTAGAAACAAAAATAACACTTTTGTGAACACAAATGACTAAAATATCACATAGGCCTTATTGGGAACCCTGTGTCTTAATAAGGCCTAAATAATAACAACTAAACATTCAACTTCTTAATGAATTCAAAACGTTCTCAATACTTATATTAAATCAAATGAGATCCCATTTATTACTTTTGATCATTATAGATAAGATGTAACAAGTTTCTTATCATACAAAAGTACTATATTCATCATCTGTGCTTTACGACTTGCTAATTCAGGGTGTCATTTGAGAAATAACCCCGATGTTACTAAAAACAATGGTTAACTATTTTACTGTGATACCTTTCTAACTGACATAAAACATTATCCTAAAAAGATCTGTACCAGTACCGTTGTAAGGCCTATACATTTTTTATAGGCTTTATTAGGGCATAGCACATGGATAAACAAAACAACAATTGTATGGAATACACCGATATTACACCTTTTTCACTTATATGAGGAGATGACTACACGTATAATTATCCTATAGACAAAACACAGCACACCGTTTACGAATAAAAATGAAAATACTTCCTGTTTCCTCTGCTAGAATTTTATAAAAACAAGCGCGATCTCCGCGTCGTTGTTGTTTTCGAGTGCAGGTTCGAACCCGCTCGCGGCACGGGTCATTTGCTTTGCTTGTAGGTGTTAATTTATATACATGTACACATCTACAAACTTTGGCGGTCATTTGAAATCGTGAAGTGGGAAATTCAAAAAATAGGCCTTATTAAGACATAGGCCTTATTTGGGTCACTTACCTTATAGATGTGTGTGTGTGTTTGTGCACGTGTGTGTGTATGATGTATATATTGACATCCTTTTAATTGCGTAACTGATTCCTATACAATCTTATTTATTTGTTTTCAGAAGGCATATCTATCCATTACGTACACTTTTTGTACCTAGTATATCAATATTTGACAATACGTTATCCTATATAATGCTTATCAAGTAACGAAACTATTAATGCGAGAAAAGTAGTAGACAGATCTAGTTCATACAATTTCGTATCATATCTAGGATTTGCCAGAAATC